AAGAAAAAAAATCAAAAACTTTTTTTTTTCAAATTGTGAATTGAAATTACTTCCATTAGATGGGTAATGTTCTAACTAAGAAAATGAGTACTGACACTTGTATGTTTTATTAAAGAATAAGAAAGTTATGACTGTTGAACTGAATTCTCTTAACTACAACAACAACAAATTTAGATTGAAAAAGGTTCTAAAAGCACTTTTTCAGAAATGTTTCAATTTAATCCTATGCATTTCATATGAAATAATCTAGTTAATAAAAATAAACATATATTTGCAACCAAAATCTTGTTTTAAACAACTTTTAATGATTTTTACTGTTTTAATGATGATATCTAACCACTGGTTAAGGGCATTATCCGGTGGTTATAGGACTGGTTAAAGTTAACCACTGGATAACGCATTTTATCCATTGGATAAGTTTTGAGCAACAGAATTTATCCAACAGACAAAATTTAACCAGCGAATAATGAATTTAACCACTGGTTAACACTAACCAATGTTTTGAACAACCGGATCCAGGAAGTTAATTCATGGTTATATTGGCTGACTTGACTAATTGCATTGTAACATGGCCTGCGATTGACTGAAAAAGTGCAGGAAAAACCGTAAGATTCAATGGGACATGAACTGGCTGGATGAATTGGGGATATTTTTAAGTATGAAAACTAATTTGTAACAAACATTATATTGTTTTCTTAAGAAAATGAAATATTTCATGTATTTCAATATTTTGCTACCGCTATATAACATGATCATTTTCTTATATGTCAAGCATTTCATTCTCCTAGAAAAATAACCTCTTTAGCACGAAAACACAATTTTAGGTAGGATTAGAGACCATTTCTCATGTGAGTGGATATCAATACGAGAGTCGGACCTAAACTATGTCGTACTTTCGCTCTGGGAGGCGACAGAACACTATGATATGAATAGACAAAAGGGATATGGTATTTCGATCTAAGCTAAACATTAAAACACAAATAGTATTTAAAATTCTTGGAATTGTTGACTAAGTTTATTTCTTTTGATCGGGATTAAGTCCACGTTAATTAAGTAAATGTATAGAAATAAAAGAAAACTGTATATTTTAATATACTTTATAAACCGAAAGTGCTTAAAGCCCGTCTCACACAGAACACGGTTGGATACAGTATACTCGGTTTATACACGGATTGACTGGCACTAGTGTTTAGCTCCAACCGTGCCTGTGGATTAGTTGGCACGAGTTAGACTGGGTAGTAGCACGTGCATGTACGAATAAAACACGACTTTTACTGGATTTACTCAACTTTCACATGTTTCACAGGGTCGCGCCGACTTTCGTTCGAAAAATGCTCGAATTATCACATATCCTTGTATTTTTTGTTAAGCCTACCAAAGTTCATGATGAACAATGTCTTTCGTCCGCCCATTTATCTATGATATATATAATTCTGGTAAAATCCAATTAACCATTGACAAATTTATAACTTAAAGGGACTCTATGAGGTTTAAAAGCCTAAAAACATAACATTAAAATTTCTTACATGAATGAGCTGGGGTACTTTAAACAGAAATATATGCAAAGATAGTTAAGAAAAATACTTTAAAATAATTTGACAATTGTATTTTTATGCTTTTCTTAGCCCGATTTGAGTGAAAAGCGTTTAAACGCTTTTCATTTTGGGTCATTTTTAACAATTTTAATAATTGTTCTGGAAAAATGAAGTGCGAGAATGATGTGAAATTTTGCATAAAGATAAGTGGTCTAAACCGACATCAAATTGTACATTTATCTAGAAAAACATATTTTCAGTCCCACCATGTCAAAAAACCTCAGTGGAGTCCCTTTAAGAATATCTGCTCATCAGGATCCGGTTGTTCAAAACATTGGTTAGTGTTAACCAGTGGTTAAATTCATTATCCGCTGGTTAAATTTTGTCTGTTGGATAAATTCTGTTGCTCAAAACTTATCCAACGGATAAAATGCGTTATCCAGTGGTTAACTTTAACCAGTCCTATAACCACCGGATAATGCCCTTAACCAGTGGTTAGTCATCATCATTAAAACAGTAAAAATCATTAAAAGTTGTTTAAAACAAGATTTTGGTTGCAAATATATGTTTATTTTTATTAACTAGATTATTCCATATGAAATCCATAGGATTAAATTGAAACATTTCTGAAAAAGTGCTTTTAGAAACCTTTTTCAATATAAATTTGTTGTTGTTGTAGTTCAGAAAATTCAGTTAAACAGTCATAACTTTCTTATTCTGTAATAAAATATACAAGTGTCAGTACTCATTTTCTTAGTTAGAACATTACCCATCTAATGGAAGTAATTTCAATTTAAAATTTGAAAAAAAAGTTGTTTTTGAATTTTTTCTTTTGTGTGTCTAAGGGAAAAATAGAACTATCAATACTTTAAGGCCTCTGATATACTTTATGTTTAATTCCAAAAACAAGAAAGCACAAAACATGCAAAATTATTTCTTTAGGAGCTTCCTGATTCTAATAAATTTATTATTCATTAAAAAATCGGCCATTTTGTTTCCAGAATCACTAACCAGCCCTGTTGCATTGTGGTACTTAACCAGTGGATAAATACGCTATCCACTGGTTAGGTAGCCAGTACACTATCCAACTATTGAACAATGAAATTTTATCCACTGGATAGCTGGCCGCTGGTTAAGAATTTAGCCAGTGGATAAGCTATCCATTGGTTAATTTTAACCAATGTTTTGAACAACCCGGTCCAGATGTCTATTAGTTCATCGCCATTTGTTGCTTTCTTGCTTGGATGCTCTTTCAAATTGGTGTTTTGCATCAATATTTTTTCTTGTTATATCATGATATGCAATTTGCCTCGAAACATGTTAAGGACGTTTTGAAAGTCGATGAAAGTTTTTGTTTTGGCTTATTCACATATGGCTTTTATACCGCCTCCGTGGTCGAGGGGTTAAAGTCGATGACTTCTAATCCAGGTACCTCTCTGGCGTGGGTTCGATCCCCGGGAGATGCTTTGGTAGTTTAGCGCGGAGGAAGGTTGTCTAGTACTGGTGTTACTCTCCAGGAACGATGGTTAGGAAACTACCCGCCTATATGACTGAAATACTGTTGGGAAAAGGCGTACAATGAAACAAACAAACAAACAAACAGAAGGCTTTTTATATTTCTTACCATGATTAGTTGTTGCTATTTGTAAAACATAAGTAGTGTTTTAGGTGAAAAAGAAAATGTGCATGTTTGATATTTTATAACATTTTATATTACTAACTACAGAAGTGACATAAATAGAACAATGATGCACTACTGTCGTATCACATTACATTTACAAGTCTTGTAAGCCTTGTTTGTATTGGAATTAGGTAGGCATCAGTGAAAGCATATTTGTTTTAATTTGATATCTGGCCCCCATTTCATTGACAGTGCATACGATTAGTATATCTATGCAAAAATGATTTACAAAACATCCGCAATCATGTACAATAGTACTTAATCTGAATAGAACATGACCTGTGGGTAGGAATGATTTAGTAAGGTATCTGTAATGAGCGATTTTTTGCGCGGAGCTTCTCAATTTCTGCATTGCAGCAACACTTGTACTTGTTAAGATATTCTTCAGTTTCGAATGAGTCACATAATACACTCAAGCTGCATAACTAAGTTTGATTACAATTGTATATTTTGAATGTATCCTTGGTATATTTATGAATTTCCGTGTATAGAGCATACGAGTTGTTCTTTAATGACGCATAAGACGGTACAGTAATAAAGTAGTCATGGTCAAAGATAGAAATATATACGGCTCATTGTGAAAGCATTTTGTTGTTCGCGAATACAATACAAGTATGAATCATAGTATAGAATAAATGCACCGGATTATATTACACGCAAACCCATTCCGCCATTCCTCAACATTTTCCAATATAAACTATTGGTCAAACACCATTTAAACAGGTAATCTTTTGAAATATATAGCAAATTCAGCTCAACTTGACAATGAAAATATGAGCATAATGTCACTTTAAACAACGGTTTCGTTTTTTAGTTACACAGTACAGACATAAATGGTCTCACATGAGTTGTCATGTCATATAAAATTTGATTACACGAGTTAAAGAAATTAATATAACATAGACATCTGTCGTGCTTTATAACATTTTTGTAAACGAGTTTGATAAGCAATTTAATTTCACACCTATCAAAATGTAATAAACTTAAAGCGTTTGTGCCATATAATTTTCAAACATAAATCGTTTATCGTAATCCTACATGATCTCATCTCATTTTTCCCGTCAAAAAATTCCATATTATATCACTACTGTACTCCATCGTTTTCACTTTCAGAGTACAAACTTAAATCATTATTGGAAACCCTATCTTATCCATTTGTTTCGTTCCGATTTAACCCAGATAGTTAAAAGCTAATGAAAGTTCGCCAAAAATGATAGAAGTTTGTTTCATTCCATTTAAAGCATATACAAAACATAGCGTATCTTTCTTTCATCATTACTACCATGTAACTAAAGTTTTGACGTTCATTAAACACGGGTAATTGTGGTTTTAATTGTTTAAACAAACAATTTTAAAATTCATCATATCCAATCTGATATGGTTACACAAAAGGAACTGTAAATGTACGTAAATGTACGATACATATCGTACCAAAATACCGTAGGATTGTTAACTGTTATTTGATTGAATTCAAATAACGTGATTAATCACATATAAACGAACCCCCCCCCCCCCCAAAAAAAAAAAAAGGTTGGTTACATACAAAGGAGTTTCATTTCATATTGGATTACAAACAGGAAAATTCTTTCTTAGTTTCAGGTAATGATCTTAGCAAATGATATCTTCACGTTTTATAAAATGAAACGGATCCTTTTATCCATTTACGTCTCACAAAATAACCTTATTACTTTTTAAGAGCCTTGTAAAGTTTCAAATAACTGCACCCTAAAAGTATTACGTATAACTATTAAAAAAAAAACATTTTTGTGCCTTTTGATAAAGGGGTCATCTACTAGTTATAGCCAGCCAAAAAGTGAAAGACTAAGTGATAAATAGTTTTCAAGATAATGAGCTGAAACCATTCTGGCATTCAATACCCATGTGACCTTGACATTTGAACCCCAAAATCTATAGGGGTCATCTACTACATATCACTAATCAATTAATGAAATATGGAAACTGTGTTATAAATATTTAAAAGATAATCAGCGGAAACCATGTGGTCTACCGACGGAAAAACCAACCGACCAACATTAACAAAACAATATACCCCCTATTCTTCGAATGGGGGCATAATAAAACAGTTCGTTAGATATGTTTTAATGAGAAGCATCTAAATAAGTGACACAAGTAAGCAATAATGCTATTCATTCACATCATAACGACGTTTTCTGAAAAATTCTCTTATTTTCCTGCTGTACCACAAAACTCCTAATTTCACTTACATGCAAGTTTTTTTTATTGTTTTTTTTTTCAAACCAAAACTTACAAAATATATGACCATGGTGATAAAGGTATGAATTTCACAAAGCATTATTATTACATATGTTCACACAAAATGATTTTTATATAAAATATCTGCATTAAAATCATTTTTAAGATCATTTTTGACTAAATGTTTGCCGCTACATAACAACTCAAAAGACGATGTCTTCGGCAATGTTTTATAATTATGAGAGTAGTTATTAATTAAATAAGCAACATTCTTTTTTATTTATGATTTCAGGTATAAGCTTGTTTAAAGTGATTCCTTTGTTTTCATGTTTGTCCCTTCCTTTCCTTGTTGCCTGTTAGTATAGTCGACAGGATGTGTTCCTCTGAACGTTACTTTACTTATTTCGTCATATAGCTTTAGTTTAGTAGATAAAAATTCAGTGAGTTCCTCATTACTGAATATTGAAATAAACACAATTGAAATATACCGCCAAATAACATAAATGCGCTCATCTTTTCTTTGGCATAATTTTATCTATGGAAATATATGTGTACATAACACACTATAAATGCTAAAGTAATTATCTTTAGACTCGGGAACAAGACTACCTGGGTGAGAGGTGGTTACATATAGCTGGACTCCGGTCTCCAGTTTGAAAATAGCACCTATGAAACTTGTACATTCAAAACTGTCTGAAGCAACTTTACAGAATGATTTTTCTCCTTCTAACAGAACTTGCTCTTTCCTATGTTCTGATATTCTGTAAATAAAATGTTTAAAATTGGCGCCCGAAACTCCGGCTGTGCCATTTATGGAGTAGTGTTTTGACTTGAGTTGTGATGAAATGTAGAAATACCCACTCGTTTCGATGTATATTGTTCCGTTGTCTGTCAGATATCTTAGCTTAGGACAAGAAAACGATGGGTATGTACTATTCCAAATCAACCTCGAAGAAGCGTTCATTTGATCTACAAAATAAATAACATGTAGAATGGTAATGATTTGTCATGATTCAGCGCAAAGATACTTTTCATTCAACAGCAATTTCGTAAAGTACCCATATTTTTCATTTTATTCAACAATGAAAGAATTGATTTTAAATTTACGAAATCTATACGCTAATTCTAATTGACTTAAATGAGTGTTCAGGTCACAAGCCAACAATCTTACAATTTTAATAAATATGTCTTCAAATTTGAAAGGATATTATTGACTATAAATCAATTTTGCGTGTGCCTCACATAATTGACAATAAATCAATAAATTGTCATAGATTACCTTGTTGATTATCACCCGAAATACCTACAAGATTTGCTTCCAGCTGTACTGTCTTCTTTTCGGAACAGTTAAATGCCGTGATATCAAGTGATGTAATTTCTACATAAATTATACACCGTTAAATTTTAGTGTTCTAATAGAATAGGGATAGATATTCTACATGAAATATAAAACAATGAATGTTTAGTTTTCTACAATAAGCAGAATAAAAAGCGGCAGTTCAGTTTAGTTCTCTACGAAAGGTTTTATATAATGATGGGAATGAAGTTTTCATATTAATTATCAAATGAAATTTTGATTTATTTTCAAAATTATTTGAAGGCATCATCTTTAAAAATAAAATAGATCATTATTGGTTACTGTTTGTATCAAACAAAGTGGTGCATGTACTGTAAGTAAGTATATTATAACTTACCAGGAAAAGCATCGTCATCATACTTGTCTTTAACAATCTGAAAATAAGATAAAGATACAAAGTAAATGGCATATCTAATGCTGTTGAAATGTAGTACATATGAATTAAATAATACTTAATCATATCAGATAGTTATGATGTTGTTTATGTACCTTGGCGGAAAGATTTTCTATGGCAATGCTCATAGATCCACAACATAATCTTGTTTGTTCTGTTTCTTCTGTTTCGTTGCCCTTCTCCTTAAGTCCGCCTGGACACTGGTGACTATCATCTTCAACAGATATAAATTTTCCCAACGGGAGGCACATGTTGTTTTCCGTCGGATCCGGAGCCATTATACCCGTCCTTAGTTGTCGCAAGTGACCGGCAAGTGAAAACAGGGACATACGTTCAGCAACAGTTGTAGAAATAAGAATGATCAGTATTTTTTTCTGAAATGAAAATACAGGGATGTTTGTTTTAATATATTGCATAGGTAGGCTCGGTCGGAACCACTTTGTATGCTTTTGGAGTGAAGGTTTTAAACTTTGATTTTACAAAGCGTTACATTTTGTAATTGTAAATTATGTTTTTAGGTCTATCTATATTTTTCACGTCATAAGTTAGGAACTGTTCCCTATCAGCTAATAAATATGCCTTATAAGTAACGGCTGAACATCATCAATAGTAAATCAGTAATGAATGAGCATATCAGCATGTAAAGAATCCAAAAATTATAATTTGTATTTCTTTATTTTTAATACTGTATACGTGCTGTTATTTGCTATTAAGTTTTCTCTAGATGCGTTATATGATTGAAAAATCCGTTTCCGTGTTGAAAACACAATAACGGGCTTCTACGTACAAATTAACATTATGAACTCGAAAGGTAAAACACATCAAAACAGGACATTCTTGCAATATTTCCTATTTACAATTCAATGCAGATTTTAGACAAGGATGATTATCTAATGAGATCAACTGTCAGTTCTAAGTATGAAATACATATTCCTTAGTCTTAGTGTTCCTAATCAACGAAAATTATAAAGTTGTAAAAGCTATGTTAATATCGTAGGCTTTACAGGGGCAAAGTATTAAATGTGCACGTAAATCATATTTGATAATTCATAGAGCAAAATGATATGTGTAGTCTATAAATACCCCGATATCGTTTCGAAATACATTGTTATCTAAGGTATTTTCCCTATACACTTTCTGTATTTGATTAACAAATATTTGAGGTATATCTGTACGTGTTCGAAAGCCACTTTTCTGGAAGTTGTACGTAAGAGTGATAGTTACAAGTAGGTGATCATGGTGAATCATTGTTGAGATACATTGGAAGATTCATATGACAGAAAAATTGCACAGAAATGCAAATGTTACAACGGCATAGTTAAAAACAATGACAGTATCACACATATGGTCAATAATAAATAGGTTTATTCCTTAAAGACTTGTTGATCAAGATACGCAACCAACAACAGTTACATATAACTGGCTTAAAGACTACCTGCATGACATCGAATAGCAACAGGGACAAAAAGGACGATGCAGGGAGGTTATTTAAGAAGAAATATCGGTTTCAGCGTTGTTTATCGGCTACTTAACACCGGTTTAGGTTTTATGTGTAGAAATTGACCACGAAAGTCGAAGGCCTCAGTGGTTATTATTTTTCATCGAAACGACAAAACCGGTGTTTAATAGCCGATAAACACCACTGAAACTGATATTATCTCGATTCAATCTTACAAGTGAGAATGAGAGAGATCACTAACACTATTTCTCAAGCGGAGTTCGTTCGTATAACGTTCTATTTCCCACCATACAGTCGCTTTTGTATAAAATATTGAAATAAAAATATAAGAAAAAATGTTATTCAATCATTATTTTATCAAGTTTTCAATAATTTAAACTTACGTTTCAGGCTACATTATATTGTGTTTATATCAGTGCTTGATTAATCATTCTTCAAATCCCACCCATGTCAGTTTATATTGACGTCATTTTGCCGCCATAATTAATGAGTTGTATGCTTAGGATGACATCATGACGTTGCTTACGCATTTTTCCTATATAAATTTATCAACTGATAGGCGTAAGTATATTTGAGATGATAACTTAGAGTCATGTTCAAAGAAAACATAAAATGAACGGAAAATATGAATGAAATGCGTTATTATTGTTTCGTTAAAAAACAATTGTAAATTATCTTACATGTACCACATATAGAAAAATTAACAGCGGCATATACATGACGTAGATCCTAATCAATGAAACAACAAGATATATTTTTACGTAACCATTTAAAACTTAAAAAACGTTTACCTGAAGTGTGAAATGTGATCTATCTTCTGTAATTGATTTGTTTGATTCCATTATAATCAGTAATTTAATCACACTATACACGCAAAATATGCTACTACTGGAAGTGAAATGGTAAGAAAATAAACATATTATGATTTCGATCTATAAATAAACTAGTGATAAAGTTTCGATCCATAAATAAACTAGTAACCAAGTTAACCAGGAAGTAAATTCGTGGCTATAATTATTGCATTGTAACATGGCCAGCGATTGACTGAAAAAGTGCAGGAAAAACCGTAAGATAGGAAATAAAAAAAAAAGTTACTGGATGAAATTGAGATATTTTTAAAGGGACTTTACTGAGGTTTAAAAGCCTAAAAACATAACATTTGAAATTCTTACATAAATGAGCTTGGGAACTTTAAACAGAAATATATGCAAAGATAGTTAAGAAATATACTTTGAAATAAATTGAAAATCGCATTTTTATGCTTTTCTTAGCCCGATTTGAGTGAAAAGCGTTTAAACGCTTTAAACTTCATTTTTAGTCATATTTTACAATTTGAATAATTTTTCTGGAAAAACGAAGTGCGCGAATGATCTGAAGTTATGCACAAAGATTAGTTATCTAAACCTACACCAAATGGTACATTTATCTGAAAAAATATTTTCAGTCCCATCAAGTCAAAAAAATCTCAGTGGAGTCCCTTTAAGTATGAAAACTTATTTGTAACTACCACTATTTTTTTTTTTTTTAAGAAAATGAAATATTTCATGTATTTCAAAACTTTGCTACCCCTATATAACAAGATCATTTTAATGTGTCAGGCATTTCATTCTCCTAGAAACTAGGATTAAGGACCCTTTCTCATAATGTGAGTCGATGTTAAAATCAATACGAAAGTCTGACCCAACCACTACACCATAGCGGCCGTTGCTTTTTCTTCGTGCTAATTGGCCTTATATGTTTAAGTTATTTTAACTGCGGCGAAAAAAGCTATAAATAGCTCGCCGCCATGGTAAATAAAGTGATGACGTCACAATAGATATATCATCTACCGGTGAATATCACATCATATTCAATGGCTCACTAGCCAATAATTGTATGATATATATATATATGCATCTACTTTGCAATCCTCTTTAGAACGTCCGTTTAAATATGAAAAAAGTCAAAAATGAATATTGTGCAAGCACTCGCACAAGATTTGAAGTTCGTTCTTTTAACATTATACTCTTGACAGCACAGAAAATTATTAGTCTCGTCCGAAATCGGTAATTTTCTTAAACATCTCCTCATGTATAATTTATAAATTTTCAGTAGGATAGACAAACGATTGGCTTTTCAGAGGCACAAAAAGCATTCGCCTAGTGTACTTAGCATCGATTACACTGTACTGATTATAGAATGGGATATGAATCAAAATGTGTTCATGTTGGTTCATTAAATTTTTTGTTAAGTTATGTAATAAAAGTCTCAAATATTACACTTGAGTAAGTGGCTTGATAAAAATTTGTTTTCGACATAAGGTTCCGTTCCTTATCTATATATGTTAATAAAATGTTATTGAACATTGTTGGACTTTTTTGGAAGAAAAAAACATCTATTAAATCTACATTGAACCAGGTGCTACTCGAGTCAAAAATAGGCAGCTGTGTACGAGTCCCGTTAAATCAGTATTTTATTTTATGCTTTTCAGTGGATTACTGATTTATCCGTGAAAATTATATTTGGTAATTTCACAGTGAAAATTATCAAAATATAATTTCACTCTTTTCAATGACGAAACTACTTTTTTAAGATTTTCCCCATGTGGTACCTCAATTTTATTTTTGCTGACAATTCTGACAATGTCAGGCTGTTTAAAGAAAACGCAAAACTGAAATTGATAAATAAATTAAATGTCAAAAGTAATAAAAAGAAGAAAACTTACTTCTATTCATTCAAATTCATTCCATTCCAATCACCAAATTTCGTTTTTTTGTTTCATTTTGACAGTCTCAAAAATACATTCCTTCCCCATGCAAAACTGCTCTTGATGACATTTGGGCATATTAAAGTATCCTACGAGCAATAACTGCCGTATGCTTTATGAAAAATTGAAAGCATTGACAGCCATAACTCGAAGAATAAGTTAAATCAACCCAGCGTTCTTGAGCAGGTTTCCAAGTTTTCCATTTTCCTAGCTCCTTTTCTGAATGTTTTCACATCTGTCAACACTTATTTTTTGTCTGTTACAATCCTCAAATAAGTTTTCTTTCTTTTAAAAATGTGTATGACTAACAAATCCAAATTATATCCCTCTGAATCTTACACAATTATTTTCCTCCCATGAAATACACAACTTTAAAAAATGGCTGCCGCTTACAATTTACAAAGCCAGGTCTAATATAAATTCGCACTAAGTAACAGAAATATGGATGGATGGTTGGACTTTTTCTCCTACAAGAATTGTTTGTTTTTATTATCAAAACAAGCGATCATTCATATTTTTTTAATAAAATTAATAAATATCACCGTCATTTAATGTTGATTGGCGGACTTATTTTTCAGCTCAAGACTTCTTTTTTTTTAATGAGAAATTCCGAATAAATGGGGCTCTCAATGGGGGAAACAGTTTTAATATTAACAATAAAATTATGGAAATTTCGTTTTAACTTGTTTTTAAGCATAAAATAAAAAGAAAATTTGTCTGTTTGTTGTGTAAGATGTAATTTTATTTCATCTCGTGAACTTTAAAAACAGTATTCTCACTCGTGGCTTCGCCACTCGTGAGAATACTGTTTTTAAAGCCCACTCGATGAAATAAAATTTCATCTTACACACAAACAAACAAATATCCTCTATGTATTCAACAATGTATAATAACCTCTTTATTTCACCACCATTTCACTACATTTTGATAACTCTTTGTTACTACTAGCAAAATATGAGTAACACAGTACAATGACAGACTCACAAAGGGAATTTTGGCCATAATGAAAGATCCGTCTTTTGTTTGTTTGTTTTGGTTTAACGTCACATCGACACAGTATAGGTCATATCGCGACATTCCAGCTTTACTGGTAGAGGAAGACCTCAGGTGTCCTTCCGTGCATTATTTCAGGCACGAATGGGTACCTGGGTAGAACCACCGACGTTCCGCAAGCTAGCTGGATAGCTTCCTCACATGAAAGAATCCAAAGTCCCGGTCGGGATTCGAACCCACAGCGGTGAGGGGCAAGTGATTTGAAGTCAACGACCTTAACCACTTGGCCACGGACGCCCCGAAAGATCCGTCATTCCATAAATAAGTTTGTTGATAGTATTCAGTATCATGTGACTTTAGAACACAAATCATAAAAGAATAATATATGATTCTGTTGGTAAGTGTTGGATACATGATCTGATATCACATAAGTGTATATAGTAGATAATAAATCGTTCCAGAATTAAACGTTATTATTCATAATATACACGTGTATGCTAGTTCTAAATTACTTTATCATAAAATGTTTAAAACAATATCATTTAAGAAAATCGAAATGATGCATTTTTATTGTTTTTTTATAAATATTTGAAACACTAATGAAAAATGTGCCCTTAGAAGACCAATTCATTTTATTTTATTATACAATGTTCAATACGTTAAATGAGAGAAATTTGAATGAATAAAATATAACAATTATGTTATTGATCCGCATCATAACAAATTTTTCTTAAGAACTCTCTTTCTCCATGCTCTAAAACAAGATTCCTATTTCACATGCATAAAAGTTGAGGACTGAAACTAACAGACTAAATGAACATGGCGATAAAAGTATGAATTTCACAAAGCATATTATTACATAATTACACACAAAAAGGGATTGTGTTAATGTAAAATATCGGCATTAAAATCCACGTGAGATCAAATGTGAGATCATTTTTATTACGCCTGCTACATTATTCCACAAATGTCGATGTACATGTATGTTAAGAAAGTCTGTTGACATGTAATACTACATGTATTAGAGTAGTTCTTAACTAAACTAGCTTTATTATTTGATTTACAGTTTTAGGAATAGTCCAGCTTTAAGTGTATCCTTTGTTTTCATGTGTGTCCCTATGCTTGTTGCCCGCTTTATTATTTGATTTACAGTTTTAGGAATAGTCCAGCTTTAAGTGTATCCTTTGTTTTCATGTGTGTCCCTATGCTTGTTGCCCGCTAGTGCTAAATAACATCCATAGTGGACAAGGTGCATGCTTCTAAAACAAAATTACTTTAACTCGTTTAATTTTAATATAAATGACGAAAATATTAAAAAGACTGAAAATACTCAGACAAACATATATGTCCATTTTTTCTTTAGCTTTATTTTTATCTATGGTAAAATATGTGCACATAACAAACTAAAAATGCTAAAATAAGTATCTTTTGACTCGGGAACAAGACTGTAAGGATGAGAGGTTGATACATATAGCTGGTCTCCGGTCTCTAGTTTGAAAACAGCACCAATAAAACTTGTGCATTCAAAACTGTCTGACAGAACTTTACAAAACGATTTTTCTCCTCCTAACAGTACTTGCTCTCTTCTATCTTCTGATATTCTGTAATGAAATGTTTAAAATTGGCGCCCGAGCCATTTATACTGTAGTGTTGTAGTGTTTAAACTTGAGTTGTGATGAAATGTAGAAAAACCCACTCGTTTCTATGTGTATTGTTCCGTCGTCTGTCACAAATCATAGCCTAGGACAAGAAAACGATGGGTATGTACTATTCCAAATCAGCATCGAAGAAGCTTTCATTTGATCTACAAAATAAATGACAAGTGAAATAGTGGAATATGCAGTCATCTATTCAATATTAGAGTATTTAATTAGGATCATGCGGGGCATGACTACAAACAATCTTTAAATATGATTTTTCATGGTTGAGCGCAAAAATACTATTTCATTCAATAGCACTTTCGTAACTTATCCTTATTTCAAGGAACCTATTTTATTTTATTCAATAATAAACTGATTTATTTCAAATCCTCAAATCTACAAAATTAATTTTAGTTTACTTTAGTAAGTTTTCAGATTACCAGCCAAACATCTTTCAATTTTGATAATTAAAAGATATGTCTTCAAATTTGAAAGGATATTATCATATCATTACTGACTATAAATCAATTTTGCGTATGCCTCACATTATTAACAATAAAATAGATTACCTTGTTGTTTATCACTTGAAATACCTACAAGATGTGTTTCCAGCGGTACAGTCTTCTTTTCGGAACAGTTAAATGCCGTGATATCAAGTGATGCAATTTCTACATAAATTATACACCATTAAATATTTAGTTTTCTAATAGAATAGTGATAGATATTCTACATGAAATACAAAACAATGAATGTTTAGTTTTATTACAATAAGCAGAATAAATAATAAATAGCGGCAATTCGGTTTAGTTCTCTACGAAAGGTTTTATATAATGATGGGAATGAAGTTTTCATATTAATTTTCAAATGAAATTTTGATTTATTTTCAAAATGATTTGAAGGCATCATCTTTAAATATAAAATAGATCACTATTGGTTACTGTTTGTATCAAACAAAGTAGTACATGTACTGTAGGTAAGTACTCTATAACTTACCAGGAAAAGCATCGTCATCATACTTGTCTTCAACAATCTGCAAATAGGATAAAGATACAAAGTCTATGATACTAGTATATCTAATGCTGTTGAAATATATTACATATGAATTAAGAATACATTATCATGTCAGATAGTTATGATGTTGTTTATGTACCTTGGTGGAAACTTTATTGAGGACAATGCTCATAGATCCACACCATAATTTTGTTTCTTCTGTTTTGTTGACCTTTTCTTTAAGTCCATCTGGACACAGGTGACTATCAACTTGAGCAGATATAATTTTCTCAACGGGAGGCACATATTGGATTCCTTTGGAGGCATTGTATCCGACCTTAATTGTCGCCAGTGACCGGCAAGTAACAACAGGGGTATCAATTCAAGAACAGTTGTAGAAATAAGGACATTTAGTAATGTTTTCTGGAATAAGAATACAGGAGTATATACTTCATGAGTAGGCTTGGTCGGAACAACTTTGTTAACTTTTAAAGTGACGGTTAGTAACGTTGTTCAACAAAGTTTTACATTTCTGTGCTTTCAAATATGTTATTGATAGACGTTACTACAATTTGTTGTCATGAATCAGGTTTTGTTTCCTTTTTATAAAGAAAAAGTATGCAAATCGCTAAACTTAATCAAAAGTAAAACTGTCTGACTATAGAAAAGTGTGTTATCGTACTATAAAAAGAATAAGATTACACAAACACACAAATACATGTTTGAAGCGGCTTCTTTCTCGTAATACTAAAAGGAAATGAGTCATCATTCAGTGATGAAAAACGTTGCTGATATTGCTGCTCAAAAACTTGTAATCAATAGTAAAATGAATATAAACATTGTTAATGTATCGTGAATATATTATTCATTTATCTATTCATACTCGTATTAATAGAACGTTTTAGATCCAATTTTAAACTTTTTAATGATTTTTCCTAGTATAAAGAACGTTAATGAATTCTACTCTACACGGCTTTTTGGATTGGTAGCACATTGTATATTAATATAAATTCTACAAGATTGTATTTTATTTATCAAGATTAATTCGAATCAAATGGGATAAATGGATCATATCATTAACTTTTTATCCTGATTAGAATTTGTATTGTTTATTCTTTTTTGTTGTTTCACATTTTAATTAATGTTAACGAACCCTATCTGATGAACATTAAGAACTTGAATTATTTGGTTTTCTTCTGACTTTTCTTGATCATTAAATTTGAAGCTTGTGGTGTTCGCTTAGGATGTTAGAATTGTGGTTCAAAACCAAGTCCAGGCAACCAAAACAAAAATGTGTTAAGTGAAATGAACATTTTTCCAAAGAAACTAGTAAACTTTAAGATGGAAAGTGTTCTTGCGTTTGAAAAATATCGCGTTATTCTGGCTGATATGTGCCATTAAGTATTTTGCTCCGCGGGGGGCAAGGCGAAAACACAAAAATACGACAGTGACGCCCTGCGGAACGAAAAGATGATATGGCTCAAATTTACCACCATAGTTTATAAACTGCGCGAATAATTAAATGAATGTAGGATTGGTAGTGTGTAAATATAATGTATCACATGATTAATTTCCGCTGATAAAGAATAAATTTACAATCATTGCGCGGATAATAAAGGTGTTTCCCAATACATTTTTGACGGGGTATCAGATAAATATTACCCGAGGCCGTAGCCAGTGGTTATATTTATGTGAGCGAGGCTATATACTTCCGAACATCCCACCAGCAACTTTTAAAATGAATTTATAATAACGCGAATTGTAATTGAAGTTCTGAAGAAAGCTAAGCATTTTAAGACTGTTTATAAAAGAAAAAGCAGGAACAAATATAGTCCAATATATCAGACGTTACAGGCTTGTTATAGTTTATGTCGGCCAAGTCTGATGTCAAATAGTTATTGCTCATAAACGCATAGAATCGTAAAAAAATAAAACAAATGTCTATTGTCTTGCATTTCAAGCTTTATTCAAATTTTCTTTCAATATCAAGCTCAATCTTTAACAAAAACTCTCAATTAATGTAGTTATCAATCTAAAATGAATACAAACATCAATCTATTTTTGTCAATCGGCCACACTGGTTCAGTAAAGCGCTTAACAGATTGGTTCCAAATTTTGGAACAAAAAAAATATATTCATACTCGCTGGCGGTGCATGGGCAAATACTTCGTTCGAAATTATTTCGTTTGCAACTATTGAGTCATTTAAACGCTTGCTTTTAATTAGCCAATCAGATTCCGCGCACAATGTGACGGCCATTTGTTTATCTGCTGTATAAGGAATTTAATTAAATAAGAGAATATAATAATTTTTCGGATTTGACAAATTTATTATTTTGTTAAAAGGTATTTATTTTACTTTTTTGTATAGATAGGTCAAATGAATGTAAGTATATGCTGTCTTTATTGTTTTTACGTTCCGCCAGAGTTTCTTGCGTTAAGTGATATGGGTTTTTTGAGCAATTTCGTTATGACGTTGCTTCGCCCAGAAACAAAAATAGTTCATCGGATAGATACAGGAGGACACAAAGAGGGGGTTTAGGAATGTACTAATGAAATTGTATTTTTTTTTAATTTGAACAAAAAATTTTATATTGTTTTAGGGGAATCAAAATATTTCTCAATTTATAATGACAATAAACGGCAAGTAAATAATTACTGAAGATCATAAATAATCTTGCTAGAAAGTACACTAGGCATTTTGTTGAAATATGAATGTCAGATCAGTGACAGAGAAAGATTCAAATCACTCAGAATTTTAGGGCGCTATATAACTGAAAATACAACAACGTTTATCTGAATTGCGATTGATTCCATTTTTATTCGTACAGTTATTACTATGTTTAACATGTTAATTTTAACTAATTCATCTAATGTAAACAAGAAACCAGGATGATTATAAGTTTAAACTCCCCGTATGTGGTTCTAAATTTAACCAAAAATGGACGTTGTAATTTTGAATTTATAGATTTGACTTCCAGGGTGGGGGGGGGAGTATGTCTCACAATTGTAATCAATTTAAATACGGATAACAGCCTAATCAACAAGTGTACGTATTAAATTTGTACTTTCGGTTTCTACAGACAACAATATTACGTATTTAAATAATGCCGGCTCGCCACGGTATTACGTTAGGATTTTACTGAGAAACAACCTAAAACTCCGAATACATCCAAAAATTTAATCGAAGCTTGGCTTCCAGCTTTCTATAAAAATTTATCTATCAGGGCTAGGATCCAAAATTATTTAGCCAATCAAATTTAATCTTACATAGCGTCAAAAAAACCTTCAATTTTCACGCCATATTTAAAAAGCAGCAAGTATTGTTTTGAGCGCAAAGATATTATGATGATTAAAAATGTTTGTTTTCATGAATTCTTTTCAATAAATCATATTAACACTGACTTTTGATTTAGCGATTTCACCTGTTCCTCTGTAGTAAGTTTTCGTTTGGTTAATTAACATAAGTGTACACCTGTTTCTGTGCATTTTTTCTTTTTCCTTTTTTCCGGTCATTTTATCCTTTCCGGTATTTAGTGTATATATTTACTGGCCGGGATCCGGGACGCCCGGACTGGCCGGGATCCGGGATCGTATAAGATATAGAGGAAAAACTTATAAACTATATTTGTGTTGATTATTGTCGTAATGAAAGGCCATTAAACGTTAAGTTTTTTATTGTATGTAATGAACGTTAAATTAATTAAACTTTGGATATAAATATATTTAGAGCTATTTATCAACAAACTTAAAAATCAAAATACTTATAATTATATGCCTAATTAATTGGAAAAATCAAAGACTACATTCTTGAATTGGTCAAATCCCGGGATCCCTTTATGTTGTTTTAATGCGATCCCAGCTTTTCTGAAAACTATATTCTTGAACTGGCCAATTCCTTGGATCTCTTTATACTTTAATAAGATCCCGGCTTTTCTGAAAACTATATTCTTGAACTGGTCAATTCCCGGGATCCCTATATGTTTTAATAGGATCCTGGCTTATCTGAAAAGCATCTAAGACTGGTTAATTCCCGGGATCCTTATATTTTTAATAGGATCCCGGCTTTTCTGGCTGAATTAATGGACAACTTGTGTTTACTTTAGGACTTCTGTCTGTCACTCATTCCAATACTAAATATCATATTACAACTTAACTTCGTATAAAGAGACATCTTTATGAATTCTACCTATCTAACATTTATTTGGTCATGGTCAAAAGGCCATATAGTAAATGTGCATAGACATAGGGACTTCATTCTATCTGTTTACATGCGTCTTCATATATACTCATATTCCTCTTTGTTAAACTGAGTGAAACTGGCTTTCATAACTTTATGTCACTTTTATTTTGATGTTCGCTGAAGTCTCTTCAGCTAACAGAACTGTCATTTTTACATTTAAACGCACCCCTGGAAAAAAATTACGAAGCGAGTCGCTACTAGCTTTTTTAAAAGCTAACCTTGTGAACGCTTTACATTAGGTAAACTTTCGGTTTCTTAAACAGAAATAAAACTTAGTAATGTTTACATGTTTGGCGGGATCGAATTCTCAGTATAATTCTTACTATTTTGTCTGGGGTCCTTATCCGAAGATAGACGGAACGGGGCGATTAAAAAGGATTGTGTTTGACCCTATAACACAGAGTGTAAAACCCCTACCAGCCATTATCAAAGCTCAGAAAGAAAGTGCTTATTGCAACGAGTTATGAGATTTTTATGCAAATATTCATAGGCACATTATTTTTTAAAAAAATCATAGTTTTTAATTCTTCTTAAATGTCAAGCATATGTTAAATTACGTTTGAATTATGGATTAAGAGAATATTACATGTTTAACATGCTGAACTTGCAGTAATGTGTCTTGAAGGTAGCAAAATGTAAACAATGTAGTATTTTAACTTCCATGAATAATACAAATGCATTATCAATATATCGACTGTAAACAGGGCTATACATGTATTTGCAAAAGATAGTCAATGTATATGACAAATAAGTATTGCTTTAAAAACTTAACAAGATACCAAGTTTTTGAGAAATATAATTGATAGTATAATATTGGCTTATGTTTAGTTTACAATATAAACTATAGAAAGAACATTCTGATGGTTTCACTAATCAATCAAAGCACAGAAGGCGCTGAATTTGTTTGGGTCTCAGAATGTCAGAAAGGTGAAGGTTGTGAGATTATAAAACAATTTGTTTTTGTATAGTGCCACCAATTCTTTCCAGCGTTTTGATTGTAAAAGATAGGTTATAAGATTAATTGCAACACTGATATTCAATCCAATGTTTATTTGACTTAAATAATTTGAAAAAAAAATGAATTGCCTTAACTGGGATTTGAAACCCAGACCTATCGCGGGAAAAGGGGTTTTGAACGACGCAACGGTTTTTAACAAATTGCGTAAAAAAATCAGGGCGCTTACAATTTTTAAGAAAGTATTTTCTAAAAGGGAAAAAAATTTCAATTTTTAGAAATTTTTAAACCTTTTTTCGGGGAATTATTTTTGCTTTAAAAAATTAATGCCCCCCTGTCATTTTTCCCCATTTTTTTACCCCAATTTGATTTTTCCCCCTTTAAACTTTTTAAAAAGGCCTTTTGTTTCATAAAAAGGGGAAGTAACCGTTCAAAAAAGCGGGCCCTTACTTTCGGCATTTGAAAATTAAAACAGAAATTTAGACCCCTGACGACACAAAACAAAAAAAAAAATACAAAAAGCTTTCGGGTGCGTATCTAGGGAGATTAATAAACGGGCGACTTAAGTTTTTTTTAAAGGGTTACTTTTTTTTAAAATTATAAAAAAAATCTTTCATAAATTGAACAAACAAAAAAAAAGGGGGAAAAAAATGAAAAGTGCTTCGATAAAAATACATTTGCAATCATGAAACCCCTTAAATCTTCAAATCTACCGGTCCGCTCTCTATATGTTAATAAGTAAAGCAAACGATTCGTTTTTTTCATTTGCGTCCTATAAATAACTCTTCGGACGCTGATTTTAAGTACATGATGCACTTTTCCAAGATTACATTACTGAAATACTAAGTATGAAACAACACAGAATTGCTTTTCCAACACAATTTAAAGGCTGAATGTTTTCTTTATATGTTATCACACTACGATGTGTAATATTGTTTTTCTAGTGCAAGGCTTCAACGTTGTGTATTGCACTTTGCGCCTCTGATCCATGCATGTTATGCAGCCCTTTTACTTCACCGGGGAGAGAGGGTACGCCGCCGTCAAACGGGCCACTAACACCATATCTTTCGCTGTTCAGATCTAAGAGAATATAATAGAATATTGTTTAATGCGTTATATTTTTCAAATGCATCATTATTAAATTGAATGAGTACAAAATTCAAAAGCAGAAGATGAAATAATTTTCTTATTAGTTTCACGGTTATATGTAATGGAAACGTGTGATTCTTGTTTTATTATGAACATTTTTACCGTATTGATAACGTACTTCGTGGTTTCATTAAATTAATATATAGATTAAAAATTATAATCACAGCGAAAAGTAATTTAAATTGTTTTACCATTGTTTGCAATCGGACCTTCAAGTCCAAAGAATTGTTGCCTTAGTAACCTTTCTTGTCTTGCTCGGCTCATCTGCATCTGGTCACGAATTCGTTCTTGCTCAGTAACTTCCCCTATCCGGTCAGTCTGTACCGTTTGCTTGTTTTGACTCACTGGGCCCGATAACTCATTAGTGAGGTAAAACTGTTGTTCAAGGAATTGTTTTTCCGCTGCAAGATGTGGTTCATTACCAGGCTTATACACAAACCCATCTGGTATATTTGGTGACGGCGTACTGACTGGTGTATCCAAATAACTCGAGCCTGGAAGTAACATCCGTCTGTTGGCAGATTGTCTAGACCTAGCTGACCTTGAATATTCACTTTCTGCTCTGTTGGCTAGTCTTCTGCTATTCATTTCATTGAAAGTTCTTCTAAGCATCCCGTTTGATTGCAATGCATTCATGTTAAAATTTCTTCCCAAGTTTCGCCTTCTACTTTGCATAGTGTAGTAATCCGTAGCAAAACCACCAGGCTGTTCTGGGTTTTGAGCGGGCATGCCAAAACTGGCAAAAGAGGAATTTGGGCCAAAACTCAAAACCCCGGTGACGGGGTATGTTTTCCGAAATATTTTCCCCTCGTTGAGATTTGGAAAACTACCGTTTTTGGTAGAAGGGCACGAGTCATCAACCAAGCGAATTCTGTGAAATATTTTAAAAAACTAAAGGGGGGGGTGGGGTTACTTTTAAAACCCTTTTGGTTTTTTGGCCCCCGTTTTTTACGATCTTTCCATATTGTTCATTTTAAAATTTTTTGCATCGGAACAGATGTTTGGTTGTTTTCCGGGCAGTCCTTTTACTGAAAGCTTTTTAAATCCACTTTTTGGTTCCATATGTTTGTAATGCGCTGCTATTAGATGCTCCAGTCCGAATGATTCTCAGGACACGATGATTGGGGCCTCTCAGTTCCTGGATTGAACCAGGTAAAGTTCTGTTCCATACTAAAAGAAAAATCTATACATGTAACTTCCGTTCAGAAGGGTTTCCAAAAATGATCAGAATTTCATTGTATTTAATCGTAAAGAAAATTATCGATCCATTTTTATTTCTTTAAGCTGACAAAATTGTAAATGATTAAACGTTACCCATACTATGTGTTTATAAAAATCTACAAAGGATAAGGAAACAATGCAATAAGCTATATACTTGCAGTAAAAGAAATGAGAATGAAGATCAACAAGGCAAAGGCAACGTTCACAGGATGCAGATTTACAAAGACTTTAAATACCAACAATAATCAAGAAAATACCTTCTGAATTCCTACTGAAGCCGGAACACATCACAGGAAGTTCATCCGAGCCATCTTGACAATGCCGGGTACCATCACATACTCTGCTAACATTCAAACAGTTTAGTCCAAACGAGTCGTAATATGGAAACACTTCGCACATGAAATGTCCGCGACAACTTTCTGAAAATAGTCAAACTAAAAGGGCGAATACATACGCTTGATATTAAGTAAAGTGCTTAACGTTTGTACGCTATTTTATCTGTAAATGTATAAACCTTTCGTCATCGTTTTACCGGTATTTACAAATGCAAATAAATCACTGTTAATTTACTTTGTAAACAGAGCAAAACTGTTCAACTATACAATGCTATGTTCTAATGAACGACATTTTCGCAAATTAACGTGGTTTGGAAATAAACCTTATATAATATTTTGAGGGATGATCTTCCTTAATACTTTTACGTACCTATAACACGGTCTTGTATATTAAGATACCGCCCGCTGGTTCGTCTTTGGTTCAATAAATGACTTGATTTTCCATACGTTATAAGTGACATCATCAATATTGCTGTGAGCAAGCACTCCTTAAAAGATAAAAAATTGTATCATTGTTGCAAGATGATAATTATGATGTTTTAGAAACAATGTTGCAAAATGAAACGAGGTTTTAGAAACAATGTTGCAAAATGAAACGAGGTTTTAGAAACAATATGTTATGACAATGATCTTTTGGAATAATAGAACTTGTACTACATGTATCACTTTCCTAACTTCTTACTAATATTTACTAGGCATTAAAATACTTTTTAATTATATATTTTAATATTTTTAATATACATGTACAGTAAATGAAATTTTTCGATAATAAAAAAACTAACTTTACATTTAAAAGTTCTACATATTTTGTTTTAAAACTGCTTTGAATAAAAAAATTAAAAAATATTTTTAAGTATAATACCTGAAAATATGCCCTGTGTTCCATTCTTAAATGTGTGTTTTATTGTGACGATCGTGTTGATACGCCTCATCAACCAATCATTTTATGAAGATGTATTATAAATTAAGCGCTAACAAAGACATATATTGTCCGCGGTGTCAATAATAACACTTACGTTGATCAATAAAAGCGTGATTGATGTTTCTATTGATTTACGTTAAGTAATTAACTAATATAACGTTTACCATCAACATAGGTAGATACCTTGAGCGCATTCATGTACGTCGACGTAACTTTTAACAGATACAATATTGTGTAAAGTTGGTTATATGCTAACTTATTACATTAATTACATTATTTGACATGCCTGTGCAGCAAAATAATGATAAAAACGAATGTTTTAAAACTATTTACGGTTAGGGGAATATAAATTTGCCAGTAACGTTATATAGTATCTGCTTGCATGTTAAAAATATGTCGTATCAATTGTGTTCGTAAATAATATTTTTAAGTACAACAATAAAAAATAAAAGATCCAGACGTGTTAAACTAACGTGTACCTTTATCCTTTTCAAATGTATTCCCCAAGTTCTATGTAGTAAATTTTCAAAATAAATGTGCTCTAATGATTATATGGCTTTTGAGAATGACGTCAGATATACCTCTTAACACCATTTGTTTGATGGGGTTACGGCTTTTCGTTTTTTAGCAATAGTTCATGATACTGTCAAAGATTTTTTTATATCTTAAATTTTTTCGTCGATATTTGATATTTAACAGAAGAGACTGTAGATATTTATTGAATGAGTTAAATTAAATTAATATATAATGCTAGCCTCTGTCGAAGCAAAATACCATACTTTTTTTCAATAGTTTTAGTAATGAAACATATAAATGTAGTATGCTATCTATCACATACATAAGAGAAAGACTGCTAATAGTTTAAAATAAATTTAAAATTTTTTTTTTTTGGGCGCGCAAAATTTCAAGCAAAAAATAAAACATTTTTAAAACTATGTTTGTATAACGCAAAAAACATCCCCTAAAATATAAAGGCCAAGCCCCGTCGTGCAATACATTTTTTATTCCTTTTACGGAAATCCAAAATTTAAACACTTCCCAACAAAGGTCAATATTTTAAAAAATAAGGGATTTCTCCGTTTTAAAATAAAACGCTTAGAAAAATGTTTTTTGGGAAAAAAGTATAAGTAAAAAACCTTGGGGAAATTTTAGGGAAAAATTTAAAAATTTTACATATTATTTCCCAAAAATTTTATATTTTATTTAATATGAATAAAAAGAAAAAAAAAACACGACAATATAAAAAATAACAAGGGTTTTAAACTTGAATTTAAATCAAATTTATTATTTCCTTTTGGAAAATAAAATATTTTATCAATACATGATCAAAAACTTTATCTCTGATTTTCTTGTTTATGTCTTGACGTCCCTTCTGAAGTAGTTTTTTTTTCGAGAACAACGCTTAAGCAAATAAGATGAATGAAATCTGTTATCCCAGTTTAATTAAAGCATTTGATAATTTATTGCTCCAGATGACTTCAGCGATGAAAAAAAATCATTATTTAAATATTTGCGTGGTTATAACGTAATAACAATTATGCACTCCATCGTTAAAAATAATTCCTTAGTGTTGTAATAAAATTTCAGATGTCTTAGTAGTTGGTAATATGATCCCTCTCTTTATTTATTTCTACTTCTGTTTGACATTATTTAATCAGTTAATCCAGTGCTTCACGAAGTGCTAGAGCCCCGAGAGGACCCAATCCTCCCATTCCGCCGAGTCCTCCAAGACCTCCGAATCTTCCAAGACCGCCGAGCCCTCCGTATCCGAAACCTCCAAGGCCAGCATAGGGAGAAATTAGTGGTGGTGGCGGTGGTAATATTTGACGCGCTCGGGGTAAAAATCCTGGTCTAGGTAATACTGGTACCGGTACTGCTACAAGATTCAAAGCATTTGATTGTAAAATATTTTTAATTATAAATAAATCGTTTGTTTATACAATGTATATGAAAAAGAATACATTTAATTCCACTAATGTGAATTTTAATCGTCCTTTTAATCGTCATTTTCAGACAAGCAAAAAATAGTATTAATTTTTCCAATATCTTTTCCAGTCGTTAGTACGTAATGATATAAATCCAGAGGTATGGTAACATGTCAATTTATATTCTTTGAAATGTCTCAAACTTGTTTTGAAAGGTCGTGAATTTAGGATAACTGTGATGGTGTTATATAAGTCATACGGGTGTCGGTCATTTGTTCCATAGCTGCTTTCTTGTTAAATTATTTATAGATTCATGTTTATTTTTCTTTACTATCTTAAATGACAATTTTACAGTCATATAAATTCAAAATAAAAAGCATACGTTTTGATGCTTATCAAAACAATCATTTTTATAGGCATATTTAAGCAAACCCAAAATTCTTATCTTATTATTATTTCTCAAAACCCTTTTTTATTGTTTCTTCCCGGGGACAAAGTTTTTTCATTTGACCATCTTAGATGAAACTATGTGTTTTGTACTTCTTTTTGCTCGTTTTGGCAGTTGGGCAATGATAAAAGTGATTTAATTATTATAAGGGGAAAAGTAAAATAACCTAATTTTCTTTTTATTTTTTGCGTAAATAACGAAACTATCCCATGATGCATGTTCAACAAACACTATTCTCGTGTCAGCTGCTTAACTGCTCATACATTTTAAATTTATTCATGTTAGAATAGTTTTAACACATTGTAAAGATTGAAAAAATATCTCTGAGGCATAATGTGCCCTTAAACTCTTTTACATTCAATATCTATACATCTTTCTTACCTTGTGGGGGACCTATAACTGTCCTGTGTTTTTTTGGAGTTGGTTGCAGGTGCCGGTGGTTGTTGAAGAATAATAATTTGACGATTCGAGCCAGACTTTGAGCCACCATTTAACCACCATTTTGACCTTTTTTTCATGCCCGTCACCAGTATGATGTTTATTATCACCTTGGCCATCGTTGAGTATCCTCCCCTATGGTCTAAAGGAAACTCCTCACCTTGGTTATTTGAATGTGAATCGTAAACAACGATTCCACTTCCTACAAAATCGGTTGAAACAAAGAATTATAAACTTCAAAAAAAGTTTTTTAGTAAAATCTAATGCTCCATCAAACAAATTTGAACTGATAATCAACGTAATATTTTGATGGTTTTGACCATTGTGAACATATAACAGCTGCTTAGTATTCTTATTACCTCCATGACCTCCATGACCTGCTGACCGCCATTTCCTCCGCATTCGGATCGCAATTCATCTTCACCATTCTCACAATGTTGTATACCATCACATACATACATTGCGTGCAGGCATGTGAGACCTAGTGATTGTTCGAAGGGAAACACCTTGCACATGAAATGCCCCGGGGACCTTTTCTATAAAAAATTTTTTTATTTAAATTTTTAACCAAAAAACGAATAAAAAAGGGTTTCCCAAAAATTATAAAATTTTTTCGAAAAATTTCAAAATTTTTAAAAAAAAAGAAACTACATAAAAAATCTTTGAATTAAAAAAAGGCTCCATTTTAATTAAAAACCAAAAAGTAAATTAAATTTTTTGAAATTTTGAAATTTTTTTCAATTCTTTAAAGTTCTCTTTCAAACTCACATAAAATGTTTATTTATTTGGGTTAATTAAAATTTTTTTAAAAACAAACCTATAAAAAACATCTTGGGATGTTTAACCCTTCGCCCCTCCTACCCAAATGGGAATAAAAGCTTACAGGGCCCGTTTATGTTTATTATTATCAAAAACAAGAAAGTTGGGAAAAACATACCTTAAAAAAGGGTTTAAAATAAATACCAAAGTTTTCCCTGAAACAAAATTTGACGAAAAAATAAATTCACCCCAAAATTTTTTCATTTCAGAAACATTTTAAAATAGATACATCTTTAAACAAACGTTTCCCGGGGTTCAGCATAAACACAAAATATTTCTGAGTATAAACAATATTTTACCCTTTTTATTTTACAAAAAAATGGCAATATATATAATTATAGAATATTGCGCATCTGTGACATCGATATTTGTTGGCTGTCATTGTGACCATTCATAAAAAATTAATTCTTATTTTTCATCATTGAATAGATGAATTATTTGATATTATTGGTTTATGGATTCATATAAAAAAACGTCACAAGGGGCCCAAATGTATCAAATATGTGAGCTTGTTCATTAATAAAATTGTACCCGGAATCAAAATAAAATTATATCAACTTTCACGCTTCAATGAGTCCTTCTCTACCTAGGTCCGACTTTTTTTCTTTATCAAAGCTGTTACTAAAAAATAGCACAACTTAAAATTTTGGCGAAAATCTTCGTAAAGTGGTATATTTTGACACTTTCCAAGAAAACGTCCATATTTTTTTTGTAACGGTAACGATGGTTCTTGATGACGAATGTCATTTTAATGTATTTTAATTTAATGTTTGGCCAAAATAACTGAATCAGTAGAAAAAGTTTTGCAAACGGTAAAACGCTTTTTTGACAATCATGGAAGTATGGACTGAATTCATCATAACACTCATATTGTGACATGTTCCAACTTTAACATTGAGATGTATTTTATCATTATAGCCTTGCTTCTTGATGACGAACCTAATTTGAATTGATTTGTTATTGAATATTTCGACACATTAACTGGATCAGTAGACTTTTTTGCGACCCTTTAAAAAAGGTTTTTGGGCAATCCTAGAACAAAAAAAGGTTTCAGGGGCCACCCGCCTAAAAAATAGGTTTGTTTTCGCATAAAAATAGTCTTAAAATGGAAAAAAGAAAAAGTTTTTTGGTGTCCCCCGTATGAGTAAAAAATTTAAAAAAAAGGGGTTTTTTTTAAGGATAGGGGAAAGGGGTCGTTCCCCTAAAAACCAAACCCCTCTCGATTTGGTTTTCCCCTTTTTTCCCCTAATTTACATTTAAAAAAATGCGAAGAGTTTTGGTTTCACTCGGGAAAATGTTTAGTTTTCCAATAACCGGATAGGGGCAAAAAAAATTTTTAAACCCCCAAAACCGAAACCCTGGAGAAATTAAAAAGGGACGTTTTCTGTTTTCAGAAATTTTTTTTGGGGGAAAAAAAATTCTAATTTAATGATTTGTATTTCTGGCGGAGGAAACACATCGCATTTTATATTTACCATTAACTGTCGGATTTAAATCGATAAAGTAATATTCTGTTTGGAATGGCAATTTTAGGTTGCGGGGTGTAATTTGAAAGATATTATTTCTGACATATTTCATTTCATTAATGTATAAAATAAAGATTTGGATTCAGATTCAGCATTATTTACTTGGATGTACGAATAATAAGAGAGCAACGTGTTAAAATTATTACGGCAGTTATCTGCAAATAATAAAAAGATATAAATGGCTTACAAAAAAAAAACATACATCAATATCTTACCGATATTTCTTTTATTTTAACAGCAGTTTTAAATACATATATTCGATAATATTTCCATCTTTGTTTATAAAGTTGTGTTCAATTCATCAAAGAACATGTAAAATGCTTTTACCTTCCTATGAACTGAGTTCATATTTAAGCCGCAACAGGTATATCCAAATCACTGCCTATGGTATGTCACATATTTGTAAAAACTACAATCCTATGTAAAAGAAAAAGACGAAAAAATCAATTCTTTAAAAATGTAATTGATTAAAAGAAATCGATTATTGTGATTGATGTTGTAAATGAGGTCTAGTTAATTACTTCATTAGTTTGCATCAGGGTGTGCGGTTAAATCGAGAGAGAAGCGGAACGCATTCTTACATGAAAATAACTCAAGTGTGTCTTTTAATATTATATGAACAAAAACTTTACAGGATAAGTTTAATTCACGGCATTCATTTCCCAATCCTAACCTTTTTCTTTGGTCGATTTCAAATCGAATGAAGTTTAATTCATATTTTTCATTTTCCAAACTATTATCTTCCTTTTCTTTAGTCGATCTGAATACATAGGGACACAGACATTTTATAAACGAACAAAATTTTAACAAATGCAATAGAAAAACGTCCGGTTTTTCATATTCTCGCAGGTAAATGAAATGTTGCACGTGCTCATTGGCTGTACGTTTGACGTTTAATTTAAAATGTAGTAATAAATGTCGCAATCGGTAAAGAGGAGCCTATTTCATGGCGGGAGGCTAACAGGCTTCTAAAAAAGTGTAAGTGTAAGAAACTACCTAATACAATTTTATTTGATTTACTTTTCATCTTTATTGCTTTAAAATCGAGACTCTATTTTTTTATTATTATAAACGAATGTATATTTTTACAAGTTTTAAGAGAGAGAAAAATGCAATATCATTAAGTTCATATGCATAATTATATATAATTTAATCAAACAATAATTAATGTAATAAATAATTAAAACTTGAATAAAAAATGAAAATCTCATACAATATAATGGTATAACTTTAATGGTCTTAATTTGGTTAATCACTTGCAGTTTACCTTAGTTAATCTTTCAATGGACTGTGCTTATAGTTATAGAACCGATATAGTTATAGAACTGACAAAAGTTCTGTTTATTTTCCCCCGATTATTTCCCGAAAACATTTATCGTCAGGAAAGAAAAATTTATTTTAAAAAAATGTGGGGAAATTTTTATTTTAAATTTTTCAATTACCCCCGAAATTGCTCCCAAAATGACTGGCTTTTTTCGATAAAACTAACTAACAGATTAATTTTTAAAGTAAAATGTAACAATTTTTAAGCTATTTGTGCGTGCCCCCACTGTGGGACTTAGTGGGTTTCTTTTCACGCGGGTTTAGTTTTGGCAATTTTTTGAAAATGCGCATCATGTTAAAAAAATATTTTAAGTATTACAAATAAAAAGTGTTGTGTGTTTGGGTAGAGGGCCCAAAATTTCAAGACTAAATGAAAAACTGATGTAAAACAATTTTTCAAGGAAAATTTTAAAAGACATAGCAAAAATTGTCCCCAAAAAATCGCCAGGTACCCCAGGGGGTATTTAAAAAGAAAAAGTTTTTTTTGAAAACATAAAATTTCAAAAGTGGTATGCAAAATAAAGAATTTGGGCGAAGATAGATCTTTCATTGCAAAAAGGGTTTCATAGGTTTTGGGTTTAAAGATGTAACTTATGTGGGTTTTCTTTTAACTTACTTTGATTTACGTGCTCAGCCCAAAAAAGGGGATGAAAGAAGGGAGTAAGAACATACAAGAAAATACAATGCATTCCTTGTGTATATCAACTCATGAATTTTTCTATCGTAACTATTATCTGGAAGCCAAATAATCTTTTCTTCAATGCGGCAAAGTTTGAACTACTTTTAGATTTCAATTCAAATTTTATTAAGGATGAACCTTTTAAACTTAGAAAACAAAAAATGTTTACCTTTCAACAGAGTCACGGAGTGACGCTATTGAAAATTCTAATTTTCTTTTAAACAGGGTAGTTCTATGCTTTGAATAATCAATATTGTTATGCTTATAAATCTCGTCGAAATCAATATAAAGGTAAGAACGTGTTCAGTGTATTACAACCATTTTTCCAAAAATAATAAAATAATCAAAATCAAATTAAACATTTACTATATTTTGTTAATGATTAATCAAATTCAACCGGAGTAAAAGGCAATAATTTTAACTGTTTTAATAATATAACTTAAATATAACGGATGAAATTTAAAAGTGTAAAATTGAGGAAATATTGTTAAAAACAATAATTCTCTAAATTTTAAAAGATGCGCACTTCTAAAGTTGCCTAACTGATCGCATGATAGAAATCCACTAAGTACGCGGTGTGGGCACTATATTGTTACATGAACATTAAAACATTTAATCTGTTGTGTTAGTTTTATCTTCATACAGATTATTTTCAGAGCGATATTTCCGTTGACTTTATCTAATGTTTATTTATTTGAAATAAGCAAAAAAAAAAAAATCGAAATGTCTTACTCAGTGTTCATGTTATTCACGTTAGACAATCTATGATAGCAGCATTATAAAAAATGTTTGTCTATTGGTCATTATAGGAAACAAATTCAACGTTTAGATTTACCGTGAATCCCTAGAAATAATGACCCTTTTACACAAAAACTGAACATGGCCTATACTAAAAAGCCAGGGTAAGTTTCTGCAATAAAAACAAACGTGTTCAGGAACAATTTAGAAACTCTGGCGAGTAAATAACAGTCCCAAATATGTTGTGAAAGTACCACATAAGCAGCCTCCACTCAATTAATAAACAAATTTTATTAAATTAATAATATAAGTGTATCACACATTGTAACATGTCTTGTTTGTTAGATATTGTATTGTTGTTATTAGATAAATACTTAAATACAATTTGTGGAACAGAATAAAACTGTTTCAAAACCTTGAAGGCCAATGTATTATTTTCTAGTGGCTGCCAATTGATTATCCCTGTCTTAATGAATATGCTTATTTACCGCAAAGTAGAACAAAACTAAATCATAAATAAGAAAAATAGATGAATGAAAATTATACAAAACGATTTTAGTGATATTTATTATTTTGATATTTCAAATTAAAGGTAAAATGTATTTCCATGATATCTTCAGGTATTTTCAGACAAATAATTATTCTTAAGATCAGGATGACATTTATAAAAGGTCCCAGTGCTATTGATCACAAGACTGATACAGTCAAGAATGAAACGTTGGAATTTCCTTAAACATGGCATGTTGTAGAATGTGATAACAGAAACATAATAAGCAGAAAAAATGAGGTCGCCGTTCTTATTCCCTTGACTTGGACTATTTTGCTAAATTAAAGGGAAGATAATTTACAATAAAGGGAAACAATACCTTAGTTCTTTCTTATTTTCATGAACTTACCTTCGTTTTAGTCAATATGCAAAATTTTAAGAACGAATTAAGATTGGATAGTTCTTTTTCTACTTCTCTTAACCTTTTCATTTTTTTCTTTAAAAAACGGCCTTTCTCTTAGAATGTTATGTACCTTTACTTTCATTGAAAAAAGGAATAATACCAGGAATTGAATTTTTTATGTATTGTGCTAAACAATAAGAAGAAAAACATAATCCAGAAGTAAAACCAAGATTTCATTAACGTATGTATAAGTTATCTGCCCTTGAAATGACCTCAAAAAATAGACAAATCTGATTAAGTGGCATAAAACTTTAAAACGAGAACGGTGATCCCATCCTTTTTTTTATCGCTCAAAATGTTTTTGTTTTAACACCATGCCAAGTTTAAAGACATTCTATTAATAAACAGTTTTTATTTATCTGATATGTCTATAAGAAAACTCTCGAAAACGCCCTTTTGTAGCACTTGATTTTATTAATTTAAGGGATTTTCTATGGACGCTGGAACTAATCTTCTAAGAACTTAACGAAACTTTCGAATACATCAGATGTGAAATATTTATTAATCTATTTATTTAGACCGTGGCTGAATGGTTCATGTCGTTCACTGTAAACCACTTGTCCTTCATCGCTGTAGGTTAGAGCCGCGCCAGCGTCTTCGAATGCTTCCAAATGAGAAAGCCATCCATCTAGCTTACGAAACGAAGCTGTATCACCTATTCTGTGTTAGTGGGGCGTAAAATACAACACAAAATTATCAAATTACACTTCAATGTTATTCTTACAGCAACATTATCTTTAGAATGGGTACCCAGGTTATAATTATAAGTAGTTTTTCAAACTACCAATTGCTTCCTTAGGCACATAAGTGTTTATATGTAAGCGGGGGCTGATAGATAAACGATCAAGTCCATTATCTTCAGGACAATAAAAAGCTATGTTTGCTAGTAAGTTATATTAGAGGATAATGTTAGACTCATTTTTCGACTGGTTCCGTTTTCCTGTATTATATTTGAACAAGTTTGCTTCTTTAAAAAGAAGCATGCGAGAGGTATTTTTGCTGCTGTAGAAGATTTGTTTAATTTGAAAATATTTGGGGATATTATATGGCATAAAAGACACAATGAATGGTTATAAATTACAATTATTAAACAAAATAGAATTTATTATATATATTGCAATTAAAGTTTGTTTTACACTTCATCTTTTTTAATGTTTTAAAAGATTATATGCCGGAGTAATGGACTTTTTTTCTTGGCGCATTAGGGATACTTTTTCTACAAAAAAATTGTAAAATTACTTAATGTAAATTAAATGATATATATCATTTAAAATTTGTATTTTAAATTCAGTTCCCTTTGTAGAAAAAGTATATAATTATATATTAAAAGTAGTATCAAAATAAAAGTTTCTAGTAAAGTTCAATAAGCAAATTTTCGGTCACTGTTTTGTTAAATATAATGAAGCATTTCCTCTACATTTTCCAAAACGGGTATAAAGTATGATAATCAAACAATTTTAGTCCAGGGTTTGCATAAAAAATGTTAATATCATTTGATTGGAATAAACAGTATATACTGTTATATACTGTTATACTGTTATATACTGTTTATTGGAATAAACAGTATATAAAGCTGCATGCCTCCAACCACAATATTAGAAGAAAATCAAACTTGAGGTAAAATTTGTGCCATTTGCGCCAAAAAATCTCCCTTTGCGTTATTTAGACATACCGGTTCAATACACGGTTCACTCGGTCATATAATATGTTTGTTTGTTGTTTGTTTCATTGTACGCCTTTTCCCAACAGTATTTTAGTCATATAGGCGGGTAGTTTCCTAACCATGGAGAGTTACACCAGTACTAGACAACCTTCCTCCACGCTAAACTAACAAAAAAAAGCATCTCTCGGGGATCGAACCCACGCCAGAGAGTTAACTTGATAAAAAGTCATCAACTCTAACCCCTCGACCACGGAGGCGGTATATAATGTACATGGTGATATTGTAGCTATAATGTTTACTGTAACTATTTATCAGAACATGAAATAGTATAGAAAACAATACGGTAATCGATTTATACAGTTTAAAAGATTCAACGGAATGAAACATCAACGTAGTGTTAAGTAACGTAAATAAATGATATTTTCCGATTTTTCTATGTACCGATTTGTTCACTTCGATGTTAATTTTTCGTTTAAGTTAAGCCGTATTTTGAAACGGGGCATGCGCAAAACAATTTTTGTAGACTGCTCCTAATGATTTTACGCTTAAAATGAGATTCATTCACTGCAATCAGATACGCAAAAATGGATGCCGCCAGCAATCAGTCTGAACACTATGGAGAGGTCTGATGACCTCTCCAATAAAGTATTAGGTAGGCATGTTTGTCATTTATTTATACTTCTTAGTTCATAGAAATATGAAGTACTTGTACTACTTATTCGAATATTCAGTAAGAGTATATGTAAACTATATCAGACTTTTAAGGAACATCATGTGTTTTAAGTATATTGTGTTACTTCAAATGTAAATAAAATTAGAAGAAGATAAAAATATTCAAAATTTATGTTTTAAAGCTTATCCTGCTGTTATATTTCAAATGTATAGAAAATCATTTGTCATAGTTAGTTTGCCTCCCAAATTAAACCTTTGTTTCGACTTTACTATGCATCTTATTCCGACAAGCCTTGTATGTAAAAGGAAAGCAAATAGCGAAGACTGTTATAAACACATTTGTCTTGAAATATTTCAAATATTTTACCAACCGTTTCACTCATTTCAGTCTCGTTTTAATATGTTTTTATATGTTTACATCACCTCTTCACAATAAAAGTAGCAAACGAAGAAAATAAACAGTTTTTATGTTTGTCCAATTTCTATTTCCCACTTTTGTTAACATTGATTATAATAAAACAACAACTACGCACATAATAAAACAAAACAACTAAAAACACACCAATTAAGCAAACATACATATGAACGACAAAAACAAATAGAAAAAAATCTACATCTAAATGTTATTCATATGTATGTTATTCAAAACTGATTACAGTACGTATTCTTATTGAACATTTAAACATAATCCCGCAGATATTGAAAGCGTACTTATTGAAAAGTAAAACATTACACGCATACTTATTACAACATAATCCCACAGATAACTGTACGCATACCCATTGAACATTTAAACATAATCCCGCAGACAATTCAGCGCATTCTTATTGAAAAGTAAAACATTGCACGCATACTTATTGAATGCTTAAACATAATCTCACGGATAACTGTACGCATACCCATTGAACATTTAAACATAATCCCGCAGATATTGAAAGCGTACTTATTGAAAAGTAAAACATTACACGCATACTTATTACAACATAATTCCACAGATAACTGTACGCATACCCATTGAACATTTAAACATAATCCCGCAGAAAATTGAACGCGTACTTATTGAAAAGTAAAACATTACACGCATACTTATTGAATACTAAAACATAATCCCACAAATAACTGTACGCATACCCATTGAACATTTAAACATAATCCCGCAGACAATTGAACGCATTCTTATTAAAAACTAAAACATTATCCCACATTTACTTAATTAGACATCAAATATAATCCCACGAATGACCGTACAAATAATAATTGAACACAAGAATATAATTCCAATGATTAACTGCACACATGTTTAGAACATTAAAACCAATACAAACGGATATCTGTATGCATACTTATTAAAGTATAATCCAACTGGCAGCAAAAAACATACTAATTGAACGTTATAATTAAATCCAAAATAAAAAATCGCATAGAAATATCTTAAGAGACCGTTAAGATAGTAAAATAATCCCACTGACAAAAACGTAACGATTTGAAGCTCGAGAAAATAAGGTGTATGCAGCAAGTAAACGTCCTAAACTATAGACTTGTAAGTAAAGCAGAATCCCCGATACACCACAGTTGAATCACGACAGTAGAACGAAATTGACATTGCATTGCTCGAGGATACAAATGGCTGTGACAATTTTGTCGCAACCCCTTGATAATATTCTTCATGAACGTAATCATATGGTCCAGGACCCGAAATATAGTATTGTGGCTCTTCATCACTGTTTCCAAACAGCACACCAAGGCAATACTGTGTTGTAGCTATTTGAAACCGAAAAGGAAGTTAAAAGTAGCTTTTTTATGTGAATTAAATAAATAATAAATAACCTTGTTATATACAGGTAATAGTTCCATTATATAATTATTTGAACTGCAAACGTTTTAAAATCTTTTTATTCATTCATTTGGTTTAAATGATTTATTATGTTACCAAATCACAATATATAAATCTAAACCACGACGCTGAAAAATAAATATTCTTTATAAATGACGACATACTTACCATCTTTTACATACACCCTATCACAACATTTTTCAGTGACAAAATCTGTGAATTCCACTTGAACTTTTTCGTTCTCGCCTGCTAGTATGTACCACTGCATGTTGCAATTTATGGGGTAACTGTTTGGATACCCTGGTGAGCATGTACTCTGTGGAATACTATCAGCCTGGAGAACTTTTTAAGAACAAAATGTTTAATAAATAGCCGATATTCAGTATAAGTCCAATATTGAATTTATCTAACGAGTGGAATAAAATTATACCATGCATCTGGCAAGTATCTAATTATTGTATTCAACAAGAATGAATTCTGTTTAAGCTATTGCAAGGGGCGTGGACGGTAGAATGCATCTAATACTGGCTATGGACAAGCTCAATCAAAGCAACCCCGCAGCATTATTATCCAATTTCGCCGCTTTGGGCGTTCATTAACATATAAAAAGAAAGATCAGCATAAAGAGGGCGGCATTCAACAAACGCAATCAAGCAACATCTGACCACAATGACGGGACAAGCAGGACATCCTATGTTATAAAAAGACAATTATTTTCAAAAATGATGAGCTATTGTTTATAATGATTTAAAAACCTTAAAAAGTGGTTATATTTTTACTGTACGCATTATGGAACAGTCACTTGAAATACGTTAAATTTATCATTTTTGTTACTTCGAAAGTGTCAAGAAATGGTTCATATATTTTATTATGTAGTAGCGTTTTATCATTCTCAGCATAGTATTATGATAGCTTTACCAAAACAAAAGACTGATCTACTTACCAACAGTGTTGGAGATTTGACCCGGCGGATCACAGGCACATGTGTAACCTACTGCTAAGCGTATACACTGGGCGCTTGATACACACGGATTGGGATCACATACATCAATTACTGGAAGCATTGTAATAAGTACAAACAATGACTCATGACCTTGTAACATACACATATTTATATTCAATGTTCCAACTTCTTCACTATTTTATAAGTTATCCTATACGAGGCAATGTAAAGTCCCATAGGTTTGACCAATTTTGACTTTAGGGCTATTATTTTAACAAACAGTAAACATTTCATATAAAGCAGCTTACCTTCATCCGTACAATTTAAAAGGAGACACAGGCAAAATTTAAATTTCTTAGTTTTTAATTTTTCATTCATTATTCTGTAAATGTCATCAAATTGAATACACTAAACAGTAAAAAGAACAAAACTTTTCTCCATATAAAGAATAAAATGGTGTTTTCCTAACTTGACCCGCGTGGGTCAGGTTAGAGCGCTATGATTTCAAAATAGTTGTTACTGTGTGCTCTGGAAACGTTAAAGAACCTGTCAAATCAATTACTTAGACTTGTTTTAATCATACAATATCCACTGTACCTGTTATAGTAACTTCCAGGGTTTTTTTTTCAAATCACATGACTTGTTTTTAAACTATTCGGTGATTCTGTTGGCGATCAAATTTCGTTCAACATATATAGATATATTTAAGCTTCAAACCCAAAATATAAAGAATCTATACAGAAATTCATGCTGGGACTTTAGGAAAAGTCATTTTAGGGTGATTTGAGTACAGAAGATCATTTTTGTATTTTTGTCATTATTTTGCCTGTGTATCCCTTTTTAACAAGAATTGTGAAGCTCACAATTCTGAAATTTAAAACACTTTATGTTTTAAAGTGCACGAATCTATGTATTTGTTGTCTTGGGATTGTAAATCATTGTTTATACTGTGAATAAAATGATTACAATATACCTTGATTGATGTTTGCCAAACCTACTCAGAAGCTACGAAATATTCCGGACCATCGTATTCCCTTTCATATCATACTAAATTACATATACATTATTTGTTCCAATTCTGACAAGAAATGGCCAAATGTTATATAAAAACATTAATTTAACGGTCTGTTTTTTTTTCCTTTTTAATTTCTATAACTGTATACACTTTTACAACGTTAAAGAAATATACTCAAGCGAAAAAACAATCCAAAAAGTTGTCACCAGATTTTTCAAGTGGTTATAGAAAATTAGAGCAATACAAAATTTTTTTTCTAGGTATATGATTCACAAAACTTTCATAAAGGTCTTTTAAGCAATACTATGTGGCAAATAAAGAAGCCCCGGCCATAGAAGTTATCCACAAAAAGGTAAGGCTTCATGCAAATAGAAATGTGTCGTCACGCCACGGATGCCCCGCATGCAGCCAACATTTCAGATGTTACAATATTTTGTTCCAAATTTGTTTGCACAAACAATTTTTTTTTCATTTTAAGTTTTAAGCCCTAAAAACTTTTCAATATAAACACAAACCATTTTTATAAAAAGTTCAAGTTGAAACTATTCAGTGATAACCTTTTGTAAAATGCATATTTGTTGCCAAAATAATGACTACATACATTCCCACCAAAGTAAGAGTGCTGAAACTAAAAATTCAAAATTGTTCCAACAATCAAGACAGATAACTTTGTCCAATATAACTGAACCACGACCAAATTCGAACTTGAACTGCTTATTCCTAAGATGTATCTATACGTCAAATTTGAGTTGAAATTTGTACAACCATTGGGAAGATAATGAACGGTGAAAATTTCTGAGTTTAAGAAGGATAACTCTGTCAGCTATCATCAAACCATAACCAAATTCGAACTTGACCAGTGTATTCTTATGAAATTTCCATATCTTAAATTTGAATTGTATATGTACAACTTTTGGGGTGATAATGAACAAAAACTGGAAATTTCATATTATTTTTAAAGTGAAAGGGGCATAACTCTGTCAAAAATCACCGAACCATGACCAAATTCGAAATTAACTTGAGCATTCCTTTGACATATCGATATGTAAAATTTGAGTTAAATGTGTAATACCGTTGGGAAGATAATGAACGAAAACTGAAAATTTCATATTATGTTCAAAGTGAAAGGGGCATTACTTTGCAAAAAAATCATCGATCAATGATTAAATTCGAACTTGACCTACGCATTTCTTTGATGTATCTTTATGTTAAATTTGAGTTGAATGTGTAATACCATTGGGAAGATAATGAACGGAAACTGAACATTTCATCAAGGGGCTTAACTCTGTCAAAAATAATTGGAACATGACCAAATTCGAACTTGACCTGTATTTTCTTATGATATATCCATATGTCAGATTTGAGTTGAATGTGTGCAACGTTAATAAAATAATGAACGGAAACTGATGATGACGGAATAACAGAAGGACGGAATGATGGAACAAGGAAGCACTATATGCCCCAGCCATTTTATTGCGGGGCATAAAATTCTGAGCTCTTGGCATTGCAGTTTTATACGATTATACTAAAAATGTTTTCCTGTACAAGTATATTGTAAACATGTGGGCATGATCAACAGATGCTTACAAGGCAATGTTACATGACCAATATCTAAATATAAGCATTGTAGATTCCCAAAATATGACTTAAATGTAATTTCCTTGAAAAAACTATATTACCGAAATAACCCCCGGGGTTGTCTCATAATAAGTTATATCTCTATCAAATAGTTTTATTGTCTTTTTATCGTTTAAAAAGATACAGAGCGGAATCTTAACCTTAAAATTCATACAAAATGACTAGGTGTGACCATGACCTTGAGCTATGGAAGGTAAAAAAACTGCTCTCTGCACATAATTTCTTTTGTCATTTCAATTTCCTTCCTTTGATTCAAAAGAAACATGTCGCACACGAAATTGCTAACAGGCAGACGGGCGGACGCCAAGGTGCAATTCTAAATCCGTCTTTTATAGGGCGTAAAAAGCATTTAAAACAATTGCGGATGACCCCTGACGACGTTCATCAGCTTAACAAGAGTATTGCATGTCCTAGTGAGCTAGAACTGAAACAAAAAAATGAAACTTAATAATGTACATACCTGTTCCACAGGTTTGCCCCGTGTATCCTTCAGCACAATCACAATTGTATGTATTAACGCCATCAATGCAGGTGCCGCCGTTTAAACAAATTATGTTTTCGCAATCGTCTATATCTAATGATAAAAATGGTACACGTGCAGACATGCGCACATATAGCGCCATGTTCAGACAAGATTTTGCTGGGAAATGTTAAACAATGCGTGTGTTCGTGCTATATAAGATTATTATTATTCACCCTTTAAACTTATAAAGGCGACACAGTTCATAAGACTGATTGTATTTCTATTATTTAGAGAGCATTGTATTTGATAAAAGATTTCTTTTTTCCGGAAAAACGGTTTTGAACCCAAGAATCCTTAATTTTGTTCTAATCAGACAGACAGTAATACAAGTGGACGCTGGGACCTGCTCGCGCGGAGTTAATGCTGCAAGGAACTTTATTTAAACTTTACCTGTCTCACAGTTTACACCTGTGTACCCCGGTATACACTGACACGTATAATTATTAACTTTATCAATGCAGGTACCATCATGCATGCATGGTTGATTTTCGCAATCATCTATATCTAAATATTTTAATGAAAATAAAACAGAAAACGGATAACTATATCACATGAAATTGTTTTTTCATATTTAACAATTTAAAACTTGTAAGATAATGTCGTATATAGCCCACAGGGTAAATTTAATCATTTTTTAACATACTTGTCTCAAAATTTATTATTTGAAATATTGTAAAAGTCCTTACAAAAGACAGTTTGTAATTCAGTCGGGTACATTAAAGTGTAAATGCTACAACAAATGATTTTAAAGCTTTACCAATTTCACAGTTTAGCCCTGTGTACCCCGGTTTGCATTGGCACGTGTAATTGTTCACTTTATCAGTGCAGGTACCATTATGCATGCAAGGTGTACTTTCGCAATCATCTATATCTAATTATGAAAATATATATATCAAACATCACACATAAATATAAAAGTAATATTGAAGACAATAATTAAATGTAGTGTGAGAAAAATCTGTTTCAGCGCCGGTACGCTTTACCATAGAAATTTAACATACAAAAGGTTTAAGATCTTGTAACTCATATTTTTATGGTTTTGTATCATAAAGCTGATACTCAAATGTAGATCTATTAATATTGTGCGTTCAAACAAGCGCTATTTGAAAGATATTACCGAATTTACATTTCTTGTAAATAAAGGGAGCTAATTAGGAATATATTTTCGATATAGTCCAAGCAAAATGTTTCAATAAGAAAATGAATGCATACATTTAAATGAGTACTTATAATGCGTATAAACATTTGCAGTACATCTTCAACATATTCTAGGATGTTTTGAAATTGTTTTAGAATAATAATTATATACATATATAAAAATTTCACTTAAGTGTTGTTACATCTTTAATTACAACATACAGGATCTTTAAACAAATAAGCTTCAATTTACAATCTGATGAAAAGGATGTCAATGGTAAAGTTATTTTATATGCAAACGATTTACTTTTTCTGAGGTAGTTCTTCTCTTAAAATTTCATAAATGAATATTTGTAATTATATGGAAAAAAACTCTTGCACTTTCAATATTTGTTTGAATATTCTTTTTCAATATATCTAATGTTTTGTAAAATTGAAGCCAATGAAACAAGTAGAATAGACGATACTGGTACTGAATGACAAACTAACGGACAAACAGTTTCAGTACTATATGTCCAAGTACAAAACAAATATTTGAAATATTCGAGTAGAAAGAAACAATGAATAAAAACCTTTATTCTATTTTAAGAGAATATATGTTACTTTATCTGATTAAAGAAACAAAAATATAAATACTTCATGCACTCAATTTAAATGATATTTACTAGTTTCGCAATACAATCCGGTGAATCCGGACCCAGAACAATTACAGAGCAACAATCTATCTTCTAAATAACATTGGTTTAGCTCCATACAGTTACCTAGAAATAATAAAGAATTATAAAATATCAGAAATGGAAACGCCAATTTTTTTCTTTATAATCATAACATTATCAGTAAAATCAAAGATGAGTTTAACCTGACATATAAAGTAATTACTGTAAATTTAAACAAACGTGTTTAAAGAAGGATTATAATTGCTTATCTGAGTGACGTCATGGACGGGCATCTAAGTAGAAGCACCGACAACCATTTTCCAAATGTAGTAATCTTGATTTTGAATAAGAAGACACTTCTTGACTTTCATGAAATGTCAGAAATATTACTGATGCGAAAAGAACTTACAAAAATGACATTAAATAAAATATGCATGTATGTGCGTTGTAGGAAATTAAGATAAAGGAAAAGTCTTGAAATCTATGCATTGAAATGGGTGTTCTAATTTATGTTATCTTCCAGACAAAGAGACAAACAATAAAATGATAGATAAGGAGACTTAAAGATGAAAAACAAGCACTGGTGTGAGCTTTTATTTGATTTGTATGCTTTAGTTTGCTTATTGAAAAGTAAACTACTTACATGTGTAGCAATATGATTTTACCGTTGTCCCTAAGTTTATCTCTAAGCATGTATCACCCGCTGGACACTGTAAATAAGACTTAAGAATAATCAAAAGTGTAGAATATACATTTTGATAAGACCCGTTTTTTCAGAGAAGAGGAAGAAGTTATAAAACGTCAATAGGCCCTACGATTCATATTTTATTTAAGGTGCATTACTGAGGTACAAACCCTTTAAATGTTAATTTTAGAATTTTGATTTGGATAATTAGGCACATATAACTTTAAGCTAATATATAAAAAGGCTATTAAGAATCATGCTTAGAAATAGAAAAAAATATGCTTGACCCGTTCCGGCGCTTTTCAATTCCTTTAATTGAGAGTTCAAGAAAAAGGAGTGAACAAAATGAACTGAATTGTGCACACAAAGTGTTTTTTATTTTCAGACCTTCATCAAATGGTACACAAATTTTGGCAACAGAAACAATAACATAGTAGATTAAATCAACATTTATTAAAATAGAAGTAGTCATGTTTCAATGATTCAAAACAAATAACCTCTTTAACAAAATTGTGTAACATGACAATTGTGTACCTAATTATCAACAATAAAAGTATAAACAACATTGAATTACTTAATATTGGTGTACATAAAGAACAAAATACAGGCAAAAGGATTACATTAAATAGTGAAACATTGAGTATCTTATTATAAAAAATGTACAAACCACAAAAAATACGAGTCAGTAGTGTATTTCAACAACGCCAATAAAAGAAGAAACAGTATTTATTAAAGTGAAAATAAAACAATTTTTTTTTCCGTTTCACCAATGGTTACATCAAAAGTTAAATACGTGACATAGGTTGCCACAAAAGTAAAATGTGAACAGCATAATATGACTTGAAATAAATTTACCTCATTTATGTGGCATTTAGATAGATAAAATGACATGAAATTCAGGAAATACAGAAAATAAGAATCCCTAAAGAAAGCCCAACACAGCAAAATTGAAAATGATTCACACCAATGACAACCCACGTAGCAACTACAATCAATGCGTTTTTAATGTTTCTTCTAACATTTATGAGTTGAAAAAGAAAATTACCTCACTGTCATCAATACAAGTAATTTTTCCTTTCGATTTACCAAATGATGATTTCCCAGGTGATTGCCTCTTAGCACGTGTCACAGAAGCATTCGATTCTGATGTGTGAAGGACCACAACAAGCAAAGCAAACAACTAAAATAAAAATATATAACATACATTGTTTGTTTGCAATTCATTTGACATGGGGCATTTATAAATACATTGTATGCATTAAATAAAACTGGTAATTTACTATTTCTTATATCTGTTAAATTTGGCGAGTGCTGTCAAAATGAGCCAACAGCCGTCCGGTCAGCTCAATTAGTAGGGTGTTGTACTGAGAATCGGGCAAACCGGTTCGATTCCCGAACTGTTTAGGTCCTGCTGATGTGATTGATCATGAGATTCTTTTCTACGGTCATTCGCATGTGTACTGTACATTTGCACTGGCATGTACACAAGTTATAAGTTCATTGCGAAGGTGAAGGTAACTTGTAATTGTATGCTGCCTGACAGCATGTCCAGGATCTGAACTGTGCTCTGAATATTGCTTACTGACGTGATCCGAAGTAAAAACTACCAAAGAGCACCACCAAAGTTAGTCAATATGTTAATGTCAAATACTTATGAACAAATCAAAATCTGAAGCAAGGTATTATATGAATACAAAGGTTAGCAATACATAAGTTACATATGAAAACAATACTCGCCACAAATGTTCTTTGAAAGATCGCCATCGTCTTGTTAAGATGCAATATCAATATGAATCAATATAATCAGCAAAAGATTATAGAGCTGAAAAATTAGACTCGAAAATGTTACTATGCACTTTTTTTTTCATTGAAATTTAAGCTTAAATTAAAATGTGTGTTCAAAGCATCACGTCTGATAAGGTCTTATCACAGCATATAAATTCAAGCTTTGAGGTCTAAAAAATAGAGATAATTTTTTAACACATTTACAATTAGATGTAGATGAATAAACATGTGCAAAAAGCTCTGAATAATCTCTATTTCGCAAACTTGTGGAACCTGTACTCAAATAATAAAAAAAACGATTTCAATACAAAATCATTTCATTTTAAGATGAATGTTTATAGAAAGACAAGTGTCCTAGATGTTATGATGTCAACATGATAAAATGAAATGATTTAAGATTATACGTATAATATTAAATCTTTCATTTTGAAGCTTATTCAATTAATTAATCAGAAAATAATAATATTGGCATACAAATGCAAGCATATATTATTTTCTTAATGTGAATTTGATGTACGACTTTAATTACAAGATAATGAAATAGTAAACCTGTTTTATAGAACAGTTCACATCTCTCATAAACTTTAGACGGACCTTAAGTTGTCTCATTTCCAGTGAAGAAAGCTATATATTTGCCATTTGTAATTAAAATGATTCTTTGAAATGTAAGCGAATATAATTTCGAAATACTTGAATAAAGAATGAAAGAAAAGTCAGTGAAAATGTTCGAAATAATTACCTAACGGTACATAACATTTTGTTACGGAACTATATTTGTTAACGTACAATTTTCATGAAGTGTTTTATAACATAAAAATATGGTATGTTACAACTCTTTTGAGGATCGACTATCACATGGTGAAAGTAACATACATGAGTCGCGCCATGACAAAACCAACATAATGCGTTTGCGACCAGCATGGATCCAGACCAGTCTGCGCATCCACGCAGTCTGATCAGAATCTATGCTGTTCGCTTACAAATCCTATAAGTAAAGGAGCTGACAGCGATGGATCCTGATCAGAGTGGATGCGCATGCTGGTATAGTACCATGATTGTTGGAACCCATTATGTTCGTTTTGTCATGGCGCGGCTCATGTATCGATTGATTTAAATTAAAATATTTCCACAACATGATATCATTTGAGCAATAGCAGTCCACTCTCCATCATCAGGATGAAATTATCACTATCAAATATAAATTGTCTACATTGGTATTATTTTGAGCAGATATTTAAAAATCTGAAAAAGTACAAAACAAAATCACGAAATAATCCAAAATCCATGTGTGTTGGACTCCGTTTAAAAGAATACAATGAATCTAAAGATACATCTCCTGTTAAATGAACATAATGGTTTGTATTTTAATACTTAAATAAAATGAGAAAGAATATCAAATAATAATCATTCTTACCTTGATACATCTGGTGAACAAATGTACAGATCTAAACATCACAGCAAATGTTTCTTCATTTATAACACGATAATTTCAATTTTTCCCCTAGCATGTCATTTATTATTGATAAACGAGTTTCGTTGCAATAACGTGCATGTGTACTCTGTTTTATTTGTGGACATTAAAATATTTGTAAGTGTCAAATAAAAATTGAATGTGTATGATGAGGCACTATTAGTGATAAACGGAGAGTACATAAAAAACGCGCGGAAAGATGTCCAGTTACAAACGGAGATGAAAAAGGAACGCGCGGTGTTGATAAAAATAGCGCACGTAGAGTACACTAGGAAAGAGCGGAAAGGACACAAGTAACACGCGTAGAGGACATACATGTGTAAAGAGGACACAAGTCACGCACATGGAGTACACATTGAACGCATGGAGAGGACAAAAGTAATGCATACAGAAGATACACGGAACACATTGACAGGTCACAAGGAACGCAACATAAGAGAACGCTTAAACGTGCAAAGGACTCAACGCACAAAGAGGACACGCATAAAACAGGACAAAAGCAATGCACCAGGAATACACACGGAATGCGTGGAGAGGACAAAAGTTGAAGAAGGAGAAGACACACGCAACGTGATGGAGAAGGCACAAAAAACGCACTAAAGAGGGCAAAAGGAAGGCACAGAATATAAAAAAGGAGCATACGGCTAAAGTTCAAATAATGTTGTCAATGATTAAAGTATAAGGGCAACGGACTAAGAAAAAATAAGTATATGACTCAAATACAAACAAGGAAAAAAATGGAGGAAAGTAAGTAAAATTTTCCAGTAGATTCAGTTCTTACTTAATGTTAGTTTTCAGACTTTTTTGGCACTTTCCATTTTTTCAAACACAAGCGTTATTTTATGACATCAACTGTGAGTTCTTTTTAGAATATCTTTGATAAACTTGTGCTTAATGAATAATGAACGCAAAAAATAGCATTTATAGATGTCACAGAATTGACAGAGTAAGAGTACACAAATGTGACAAGAATTTTCAGAAAATAGCCCGATTTCCAACATGAGGCTTAAACTTACTGTTAGGTTGATAAAGGATCCAAGTTGAAATAGAAATACATTGACGCTCTAAAAAAGATTATATAAAATAATTGTCTGTAATTTAATCCAGGGACAATATTACATATGTTTCCGAGATAAGATGATGCAACAGCATAAAGTACAATATCATGTGACGCACTTTACCCTTAGCTATTTTCATATCAATTCTTTGAAATTTATTTCTGTTTTGCTATTATTCATACAATGTACTGTTAACATATGCTGCTACATTTTATCAAATGCGTAAATACAGTTTATGAAGTAATTTATAATTTCTAAGAATATACATACATTCGAGGCAACCACGTTTATTTTAAGAGGGAAAAAATCGTGACAGCGCTGAACTCTAAGCAATATTTATTTTATTTTAAAGGGTAACATTGTTCTAGCATTTCACAAAGAAACGACAGAATTACAAAAAATCATGGATGTATTTGAAGTATTTTAAATTATCTAATAGTTTTTGAACTCTTCTAAATCCATTGCATGGCCTGCGACGGGTGTTAGGATTGTAGCAGACTCATTTCATGAGGAATTATTTCCATTCCTGGATATGTTATTTTTATTCTTTGACCATACAAGCACATTTTAATTGTGGATTTCGACTTTTTCTTTAACTAGCATACATTTTCAGGAACCATGGAGTCCTTGAAGAAATTTACATTTTCGAGGTTTAGGTTCGTTTCCAGTGCCTTGCACATAGACTTCCGAAAAACCTCATGCCAATCAAAACTTCGTCATTTTGACGTTTTTGAATTCGTTATGGTCAAATGCAGAAGTTTGCGATTTTTTCCTGGACTTTTGCATTACACTTATTGGATTTTAAGTGCCTATAAAAATGACATTTTAGGTCAAAAGACACCAGGTAAATTCTTTTTGACCTATGAAGTACAGATCTGGTCAAAAAACATTTCTATCTCAACGAAATATCTGAGTTAAACAATATTTGCCATTTAAAAAAGGGGAAAATATCGATTTCAGTATCAGACTTACAAGTATCTTTGCTTGCGGGATAATTACCCTTCCACAACGAAACGAATGTCGAATTATAGAGTTAGCTCTGAGTAAATCGCTAGCAATATAGTTGCTCTCTTTAAGCATGTTAAGGAAAATAAATGGCTATCTCACAGGCATCTTTTAATTGTATAATCGAATATTGATATGGGAGCCAGTTATGAGTTAAAGTTTTTATCTGGTTTCTACGCCTCGATAATATGTGATAATTATTATTGCATTCATGTTGAATTTCATAACTAACTTAAATATTCTTTTCTTTAGTTACAAAAAACCATAACATCAAAATTTATCTATTAAATTTGATAGCATTAAGTTAGCCTCAACTTTCATTAATAGAAATCGGGTTTGTACTTAAAGTATTAATTAGGCCCAATCGACTCTAAGTTATTCATTTGGATATTATAGACTGTACATGCTATTTTGTGTAATTCATGAATTTTAAATGTTATTTTGATTTAAACATTTACATGAACATATAAATGCTTCTTCGTTTTCTGCGCATAATATTATTTGTAATTTTTAAAAAACTAACCGCCAGATGTTAGCTTTTGTAATTTATTAGATCTATTCTTATGACAAAATGACAATGATGCACTTCAACTGGCTCATATTTTACATTAATATAGCTATTTTCATATAAATTTACTAGTTTTGTTTTGAACTTTGTGTAACAAATGATACTCCTTTTTGCATCATGTATTTTTAATGAAAATTTTGAAAAGTAATTTATAATAAAGTATTATCCAGTGAATAAGACAGTATGTTACACAATAACAACGGTATTTTCAATTACCAAATCAATGTCAAAATATGCCAAAAATAACACTTAGAAATACCGTAATGAGTAATGCAAAGTATATTATTACTTGATTTGTAAATTGTAATTTCCTTTATTCACTTTCCTTAAAATCTTAATACACTTTTCGTATAATTGATTTTCTTGACACTTTAGTTTAAACTCACTGGAGGCATTAAGCTCCAAAAATGTTTTAGTCGTGCAACCCTTCACATACCAACTGTCTTTTTTTTAATTTCTATACGAATATCAGAAAAGGTTTTATGTTATCTAGTCTCTCGGATTTAAAATTCGATGGTTCACTAAAAAAAGATTGCTTGATAACAAAAAAGAGAGATCCAAGGGTAACTTTCCATTTTCAAGATGTCAATGTTTAGTCTGTAATTAATTATCACTCAGGTATATTTTATATCTTCACTTCTGAACAACAAGTCACATATATCTACAATCGCAACTGGTCGGCCTTTCGACAGATAAGGACCTCGAAAAATAGTAAGAATACACAGAACGGGTACGGTAATTAAGTCTAACCTTCTCATAGAAACAAATTAATAGTGGTTGAAGTTGAAGTTGTTAACTATGTTAATAAGTAAACAATTCATAAATTATATACATTGACATAAATTTCGCATTGTTATTTCCTACATCAGTGTGCAATTTTACAGAAATAGAATTTATTTTCGCATGTACATGTCATATAATTATATACATACATTCCTTATACATCCCCTATTTGTTTACATTGTAGAACTACTTTCAATCTGTATTAAGTTCGAGGTTAATATAAATATAATACAATTTTATGAATTATAGCCGAAGATGTTCCAATTGATATACATATAATGATTTAGGATACAATAAGTAAAAAGAAATTAATTACCGCAACATTTATCTAAACACCGACAGGTCAATATTTGTAAGTAAGTAGTCTAGTTGTTTGAAAGGATGGTGATGTAATATCTTCAAAGAAATACCATCAGATAAAATATATTACGTTGAAGATGCGTTTAATAGGATCAGATAAAGATCTTTCGTTAAAGCCCATTATGCCTTAGCCTTCTAATCCATTCACAGTGATTAAGTATCTTGTATGAAAGTCAAAATACTTCCCTATTTACATTTTTCTACCTCACTAACAATTGTTTCACATTTATAGTTGAAGGTGACATCTTACATCTAACATGCTCTAAAACCATTTCTCATTTTTGCCCTTTCTAAAGAATTAAAAATGTGTTTGCTACTCAGCCATAACGTTTTCTAAAGAATTAAAAATGTGTTTGCTACTCAGCCATAACGTGTCTTTCAAATGCTAATATGAAACTGAAAAACCTGTTGTTTATATTAGCATCTGTAGAATATTACAACAAGATTTAAACATTTTGCAGTATATATACTCAGGAAAACTAAGTGATAGAATGTGCTCGACATAAGGTTGTACCAGGGAAGATATATTTTCGAGGAAGGATGGGGGAGAGGGCTTCGGACGTCTGGTTCCAAGAGTATTACATGTATTTGTTGCATTTTTTATATGTCTTTTATAATTTACCATGACAATATATTCAAGAAAATGATAAACATATATATGTGTAAACTAACAACTGTTCAAATGGCAAAAAATTAATGGTATACGGTAATTAATCTTTGATTAGAAATAATTCTTTATTCAAACATCAGCATATAAATATGAAAATATGTCATGCAAGCGTCATTTCACAATAAAATTCAAAACTTGCTTAATGTGAAATAAAATCATATTGCATTCTTATGTGGACTTAATTATCTGTCAAAAGACAGCTGCATTAACAATTTTAATTATTACATCAAGCTTTTTTCTACATCTTTTGACAAAATACTTAACATATATTATTCAAACTATGTTATCATTAAATAATATTTGTAACATAATCATGCACTGAATAGTTCGCTGAATAAGGTTTTTTGCATGTTTTTCAGAACCATCAAATAATTCCTAAAGATGTTAGTCTCCAATGAGTTCAATATATTTTGATTTCGCATCTACTTATGCAAAGTAATTTTGCAAAAAAAATAATAACGGTCAGTAAATGATAGCACAAGCTTTTAGCTTTCTCCTCTATTCTGATAGTTTACATGTTTAGCACACCTAATAATTTCTGTATACATTTTAGTTTAGTTTTAATGTAAAATCGCTCTGTAATTATTCTTGTGTACTTTGTATGATATATTATGTAATCAATTTATTGAAAATAAATATTGTTTAAACCAAATGATATACTGACTTGAAAAGGTAGAATATATGAGCTTGCTTGATTACATATCATAAAGGTCAGCATTTTTTTCAAAACATTTGTTTAATAAATGTACAATTAAAGATATCACTTGCGGCAGAGGACCGCGGATTCATATAAGGTAAAGTCCAAAAGAATTATCTTTTGTGTATCGCAAGTACGTTATATTACTGACCTTAACTGAAACCTCGTCACCTGCTTTTAGAATAGCAATAGTAGACACATAGCTACTATATGAATTATAATACTTGTTCTTTGAGATATGGTGAGGTTGAACGTTTGAAATAATTTCTGTTTCGGCTTTATCATATATATTGACTTTATAAATTGCATGTTTGATCGCAATATTGATGTTCACAACTTTTGGTGTGCCAGTTGACGAATCACATGACTCGAAGAAATCAAGAAATGAATACAAAAAGTAGGTTCCATCTACTGGTACAACAAGACGACCGTGTCTGTATCGTACCCCATATCGTAAATATCCATTTGAGTCATGAAGTTTTTTACCATGCCTCCATTCTCTAATTGGTACCATGCCAAGACTCTTGTCATCTGAATTATAAAATTTTCTGATTTAACTATTACTTTTACTATTTGAATATTACATGAGGATAAAGTATCATCTATTGATTGTAAGTTTAATTTGTCAAAAAAAGAAAGTTTTGAATGCAATGTGTTAATAGAAGAATGATCTGACATTGATAATTGATTTGTTCAACAAAATTTTAGTTAATTATGACTACCTTTGTGTATATGGCTTTGTTCTTTTCCTGTTATTCTTGCAGCAGGCTTTGCCTCCCAGAACGTTTGGTCCGATATTCCCATCAAACGTAATCTATTGTCTTCTAAATATTTCTGTTGTAGCTCTGTATCTTTCCTTTTCACCTCAACATATGCTTTGGAAATGCTCTAAGCATTAATATTTGATTTTAGTTACATATCATAAAACAAGAAACACAGTGCAGCTATATATAAAACAGATTTTTGCTACTTAACATTACAGTACATTTATATTCAATTTCTGATATGCAATATGTATGAGATAAAACTAGATATGGAAAATGCAGTAAACACAATAACTTATATTTTGAAAATGTAAAATTCTGAGGTTTTTAACGGTTTTTTTTTTTCATATGAACTGAAATGTGTTGTAAGAAAATTACAAAAATTAAAATAAATTAACTTACAGAAAGAAATTAGCTTACCTTTTCTAAATGTTCGGTTATTAAATCACTGGATGTTTTACATTTTAGTCTATTTGCATTGCGAAGACACGTATTTTTAGTTCCTGTCATTGTTTGAAAACCTGGCACTTTACAGATAAGGATAATTACTCCAGTGAGACAAATAAGTGCAAGAAATAATACGAATAGGGATAAGAAATTAAGTGTTCTGTCATACTTGTTACATAACACCATTACATGAACTTTTTAAACAAAGTTTTGGTAATCGTATGTATATATTCAGCTTTTAAATTGATAAACTGATTGGCTACCTTATGATCTTTAATTTTTTTCCTAGTGTAATTTTCTTTTTAAAGCTAACTTAAAGCTATCTATTTATATAAAAAGGAAATTTGACTGTAATTATTGAGAATGACATAATCGCTAAAAACGTAATATGATTAGTTCACTGTGGTTATCAAAAAATCTTAATATGAAATACAATACATATCATTGGTATGAATGTTTGTCATAACTATTTTTAAAATTGTTTGGTTTCCCATACAATATAAATTAAGATTGTTATAATTTCTGATGATTCCCCTTTCAAAACAGGTTTGAATAAGTATTGAAGCTACTTAAATATAGATAGGCAGGCAACCAGACACTTATGACAGGTTGCATTACGTAACATTTCTGCATATCAATTTTCTTTTAAATTGTGCCAGTTAACCTGTACAACAATTCATCCGATTAATGAATGACTTTATGAAAATATTTTTTTATATTTTTTTATATTCATACTTCAAGGGTAAATTTATGAAAAAAGGTGTGCACTTTGCAAAATATGTTGTGACTATGTGAACTTATTCGTAATTTGGTTTAAATTTCAAATATTAAAAAATTAGGATGACTGTTTTACTTCTTATCTTAACATTTAATGTAAACTTGATCTACGATTGCGTTGAACTCCTAAAAGCGGACTTTGTTTACGGCTGTAAGACTGTGCGGGCTTTCATTATATCTACGGATATTTTTGTTTATTATAAAACGATTTCACGTAGGTTGTAAATTGAGAAACTAATACATATAGGTCTAATACGAGAGCGTTAACTAAATAAACAAAAACCTTAATTTAAATATTTTGCAAACAAGCTTTTTCATAACAAACTATACATATTTCACAACAATTTGTTTCGAATGTAACGACAAAACAGAACTTTTTAACAATAATTTCTAAATACCTTGAAATTGTGTAACCAAATGTTTTATATGAGGTATTTAAAAAAACAAATACCCTATCCTAAATGCAAGTTCAGACAGAAATACAACAAACTTGTAAAATATATGATAGTATCAAAAAATAGAGAAAATAAGAATCACTAAAGAAACCCCAACACGGCAAAATTGAAAATGTTACAGGCTTAGTATGATTGAGTCTGTTCATAGACGGTACTGTCAATTGCAAACTACCGTCCACGCCCCCCCCCCCCCGTCAAATGACAAATTTAAAAAGCAGGCCACATTTCCAAAGGGTGATTCAACAGTATTCAAGTGAAGAATAATAAAACCACCCAACAAGGTAAAAGCCGAATAGAAAGAACTAAATTACCACAAGCACAACAAAAATGTCGTGCTGAACGACCTTTAAGGATCGGAAACATAACATCTCTGACTGAATGTTCGGGGCGACTTTTTACAGCCTCCACATGACACGCACAACGCTGTTGTGGCGATAAAATAGAGAAAATAAGATTACCTTAAGAAAGCCCAACACGGCAAAATTGAAAATGTTGCATGCTCTGTTTCGAATTTGTTTTAAATGTTCAATTATTAAATCATTACTTTTTCCGCATTCAAAATCATCATTTTTTTTTTTTAGGAAAACATGTCATAATTACGTGTCAAGGTTCGATAACTTAGCAGTGTACAAATAAAGCCACACCTCAATGAGGTAAAATTACAAAGATAAATATTAAATATGTTGGTGTTGTGGCCATTTGTACGCGTAACCATATAAATAACACATGAGTTTGTGGGTAACAGTAAAAATATCATCCCGAGCAAAATACTGTTGCCCGAAATGTTAGCCGAGGTATTTTAACAGTATTTTAACGAGGGATGATATTTATACTGTTACTCATGTGTTATTTATTTTATTACCCCGAACAAATACTTGATAATCTGAAATTGTCAACTAAATCTAACTGTAACAAAAGTAAACCAAGAATAATAATAACTAAATTGTCCTTACCTTGCAAGTTTTAAGTGTACTTTGGGCCTACTTGAGAAGTTATTTTCTTTTATTCTTTAAGCAAGTGATGCTATCTACCAGTCATAAACATACAATAAGCTGTGTTTTATTTAGAAAACAAAACACAAACCCATTTATACGGTTATGATCTATGAAATCTGATCCTTCTGTATCCATGATATTCTTTGAATGTTTTTAAAATTAATTACAAAATAACGATGATATCCAATGTCTGCCTACCATATCTGTAATGTTTCACTGATTAAAATTGTTAAATAATCAGTTTGTTGCATGCTTTAATCGTCTGCATGTTCCAGTTTGGCACATAATTAAAACTGGTACATAATTATACACATTTCAATTTCTTCCGATAGATGGATGTTTCTATTTTTACTATTCAAAAAAAGATATTTTATACGCGAAAAGCAATCTAGGGTGCAAACAACTAAATGTTATGGGTGTCATAGTAACTCTGTTGATGCCCTATCGTGGGGAACTTCGAAAATAAGAATGAATCCATAAAAAATGGCGACCACTTTATTTTATTTTATTTAGAAAATAGACCAGGTGACCAGATAGTTTAATGTTAAAAAGTACTTTTACTTATGTAACAGTAAAAATTTCTAATTTCTTAGTCACGTGGTACACTTGCGTTAATATTTAGAATAACTCCCAGAGGCCTATGGGAAATTAACATTTGATACGGAAAAAGTGAGGGGTAATAATATCAGCTGGTTCACGATATTTTTTGGTCCACTACTTTTCTATTCCATGACATCCGATTTGGGACTTTTTTTTAAAAAGGGTGTTTCCTTTGGTATCATAATGCTTTTACGTGATCACTGCTTTTAGAATTGAAGACAATATTACATGTAGAAAGAAGAAAAATTGATTGACATTTAGGAACGAACTATATATTCATCTTATTCACGCATCTTTGTCATACTATCAAATGATTATCTAAGTTCCGTATTTTAAATTACAGTGAGTATTTTGTTATTGTGAATTATGATAAAAACACGAAAACATGTGGTCAGCAAGTAATTTGATACAACGAATGTTTACTAGTGTTGCACGCATTCATTAAAAGTATAAAACGTAGTTACTTTTGAGAAAAGAAAGGCAAATTGTTTAAAAAAACACAAGTTATCTACTTGTGAACGCACACTAGAGTCATTATTTTTTAAATGATCTTATGATGGCCCCGTGTTCACAAAGAAAATATCAGGATCAGGATCAGTTGATCCTGATTTTATTTTCATTGTTTTATAAAACTAAAACTGACCGTAATATGCTAGAATCAAATGGAACATATTCAAAATATATATAATTGCTTATTTGCAAAGAAACCATCCAATTATGGGATAAAATCAACAAATAAGAGAACAAATGCAAAAATAAACGGATCAAAATGAGGATCAATTTTAGGATCAAGATCAAAATTTGGATCAACTGTAAAATACCTATTTCTTGTAAAAATAACAATAAATTCATTCTAAAATTTCATAAACCTGATATTTCAAGTCCAGTTTTATCAAGTTAATACTGAAAATTCAATTTAAGAGGATAAATAATGGAGAATATTCAAGTTTTTAAATTTGATCCTGATCTTGATCCTGATCCTTAAATCTTTGTGAACACGGGGCATGGTAATTTAAACTAAGAAAACCGTCAGTAATAAACATCCTAACGAGGTATGGTTACTTTTTATATTAGTCATGTTTTACTGCGTATCATGTTTCACTGAATGAAAAAAGCATAATATACGACGTAAACAAAGATGCAGTACTATATCACATACAAGTTGAAATGTCATTTGCGTTATTGGATTTCAGGAATGTTTAAATTTAAATTGTGATTCAGGGTGATTACCCATACAAAGTACTATAATGAAAACACTGATCATGAGCTCATACCTTATCTATTATCAATGGTATTGTATGGTTTAAATTAAAGCATAGTATCTGTCCTATATCTATACCCATGTAATTCAATACCCCTAACATAACAAATTGTATTCAGTCGGTATTTTTAAATATGTATTTTAAGATGTAAAGATTTGGGTATATATTCTAAAGCTGGGTACACAAATGAAAAGACGGGGATATTTGCGACGTTAAATATAAGGAGTGGCAGTATATATGTCGTTCATATTATAAACTTTTCGAATCACAATAGCACTTAGTACAACAGTACTTAGGTCATTATCATTGTTTAACAATTTTTTCATTATAAAAAGTTACAAGAATATTATTTTTATCACATACTTAAAAATAGTTTATTTGATATGCGTACAAAGCAGAAGAATAAAAAAACGGTTAGACATACGCATCGCCAATGTAAAGAATCGTTTCATATTTTAAGACAATTCTACGATTTCGTATTTCTTTCTCTCACTGAGAATATAAAACATCTGTCTAAAGGGATAAGTCATGAGACGTTAAAGAATAGTTAAAGAGCACATGTCAATGTTTGTGTTTAAATCTATTGTTATTCAAATCAATGGTCAGAGTTGTATAATTATTATGATAATCCGATTTCCAAATTTCAAAACAATTATACAATATTACAAGCAGAAACATGACTAAGCCAACATTGGTTGGTGGGTATGTGGCTTGGTGGGTAGGTGACTGGGTGTGTTTGTTTGTTGATGGGTGTGTTGGTTGTTTTGTTGGTTGGTTGGTTTTACGGCGCATCAACAAGGTATAGGTTATATTGCGCCGAAACGGGGAAGATGAATTTTGATAACCTAGCGTGTTACAAACTTAACGCTAACACCAGGGGTCAAAACCAAACTCACCTGCTGGGGCTAAGAGTTGCATAGACTAGTTATTCCAACCCATTTAGTCGCCTCTAAAGAACACGAAGGGATGTACGATTGCTGCATTTTATACTTCATTCATTAAATACAGCACATCAGTAACAAGGGAAGTGTATTAAACGTACGATCAAATTCAATTTCACTCGTTGACAAGAGTTGTTACATCTTTTTTGAATGAAAATATTACATCTGGTGATAAAGCTACAGTTTCACTTACATCCCGCCAGAGCCCTGACAGAGTCGCGGTAGATGTCCGGGGTGATCCGGGAACAATCGGGGTACGACCGGGATCAGGAGTACATCAGCAACTCTGCAGGCAACGTCCGGTATGATCCGGGAACATCCGGCATTCGACCCACGCCCCAATATCACCGGGGTGGTCCGGGGTGATCCGGGAAGTATAACTGTGCCGGCCTCATCCTTAGCTCTGCCAGGAACGACCAGGGTTACACCGGGGAAGCACTGTAGCTCTGCCGGCACAAACCGGGGATTGGCCGGGTATGATATAGCCGGTAGAGCTTCGGTACAACATCGGTGAATGCCGGCAGAGCCCCGGTGAATACCGGCAGAGCCCCGGAGGATGCCGGCAGAGCCCCGGTGAATACCGGCAGATGCCCGTAGGATGCCGTCAGAGTCCCGGAGAATGACGATGGACCTACGTTTGATCCCGGTAGGGCCCCGGCAAGGCCCGGCTCATTTCAAAAGAATCACGACAATTTGCGATGACTGCACTTGTTTGTATTAATTAAAGTTCTTCCCCATTTCCCTTCTGTCCGGTCTTGCATAAGGATTATTCAGAAGATCATCATGAATTACTACTGTCCATTTTATTAAATGAAAATTATGTATCAACCTTTTTCACGCATTTTCAATCTGCCGGGGTTCTACCGGGATTGTCCTGGGTTCTGTCTGGATCGACTGGGGCTGTGCCTGGGTCAACCGGGGCCCTGCCGGTGTCATCCTAGAACGACCGGTGAAGCACCGGCATGAACCGTAGCTTCACCTGGTCTCTGCCTGGATCGTCCGGAGCGCATCCTGGGTGGTAAGTTGGGAATTACCGTAGTGCTGCCGGGGTAAGTGTGACCGCAACAATAATTTCATCCCCGATCGTCCCGGATTATCCCAGTAACTTACCGGGGTGGTACTGGGCTCTGCCGGGAGTAAGTGAGACTGCAGCTTATATAGATCTTTATTAAATTTCATGTTCAACAGTAATTGGAGCTACATGTACCACTGGCTTTTAGGTGGTAAACGACAATACAGTAATTAAAAAATCAAACTACAATTATATTGACAACATTTGAAATCATACATCTATGCGGAACTTAAAAACCGGATGAAAGATTCATATGAGATATAGGCCAAAGGAGTTATCTTTGGTGTATTGCAGATACGATATATTGCTGACCTTTACTGAAATTTCGTCACCTGCTTTAAGCCTGGCTACAGTAGAAACATAGCTACTGTACGAATTGTAATATTTGTTCTCTGAAACTTGATGGGGTTGCAAGTTTGAAACAATTTCAATTTCCGCCATTTCTAAAATATTGAATTTATAAAGGGCATGCTTTATAGGTTTGTGTGATGCTCTTATATTTGGCTTTCCAGTTGAGGGATCGCAAACTTCAAGAAAATCAAGCAATGAATAAAGAAAGTATGTCCCATCGACTGGTACAACAATACGACCGTTTCTGTACCGTACTCTGTTTTGTGAAAACGCATTTGTGACATTTATTTCCTCTCGGTTATGCAACCATTCTCTGATTGAAACCATTTCAGTATCTTTATCTTTTTCAGCTGAAATAAAATTGATTACATTTCATTGAATTTCATTCTATTTTATCTTTTTCTTCTTTTTGTCTTTATTATTATTATTTTTTATTTTTGGCATGTCATAGATAATAAGAATCTTGCACTGGCTGCCGGTACAGACCGGAATATCTAGCTCGAGGGTAACTGCTTAAGGCGGTAACGAGACTCTGCCGAGGGTGAGCGTTTCAGTTAACACGCAAAACGCACGCTCTGGAAAAAACGCACGTGCATTACACGCTATACGACTGAACGCTACACGCATGCTTTATTAAACGAAATACGCGGACGCACGCTAAACGATATACGCTTAACGAAATACGCTAAACGATATACGCAAGCTAAAACGCACGCATAATAAAAACGTTTCTAAACGTTTAATAAAATCGTAAACATATAAGTTTTAAACAACTTTAGCTCTATCTAAGATATTCTTTAACTTCACAATTTTAACCCACGCAAAACACGGTACTGAAACGTTTAGAAGAACGCAGACGCACGCTAAACGTTTCAGGAATCAACAAACGCAGCTTTCAAACAAACGATCAACGTTAAACGCTTGTAAACGATGCCCTCTTGAGAAAGCGTCTTATCAAACGTACGTTGCAGGAGATATGCACGCACGATATACGAAAAACGCACGCACGAAAACGCTATTGTTCACCCTACGGTACCCGAGAGCTAGATATTTCAGTCTGTACTGACAGCCGGTATTTTATTCTTTTTCTTGCATATTACATATCAATTATTTTTAGCACAGAAATTACGAAAGCATTTGGAACTTTTTTCTTAAGGAAGCGTTTGAACTTATCACAACTTCATTCATAACACCCTAAGAACGCAATTCATTCATAAAGGTGCGCGGCAATGACGTCATTTAAAGCACGCGACTTGTTTGCCATGGGGTGAAAGACTACGGTGTAAACGATGGATAATCCTGTCTGATATGCAAGAAAGAATATTGAATTTGTGTGTGTTCATTACTGAATTTATTGATGCTCGCATAATATAATTTTATTCAACTCGTTCAATAAATTCAGTATTAAACTTACACTCATTCAATATCCTCTATTAACTAAACACGAAATCGTAGCGCGTTAAAGATCAGTTGTTTTTTATACCTGAATACATTGTGTACATGTAAATATGTGATTTATATTTACGAAAGACATTTCAACTTCATGAATTCCTGATTTTATCTTCATGAATTTTCACGATTTCAAATTCACGATTTCAACTTCGCGAATTCCCGATTTCAACTTCACGAATTCACGATTTCAACTTCATGAATTCATTTTCGTGAATTCACGATTTCAAGTTGAAATCTTGAATTCGTGAAGTTGAAATCGGGAATTCATGAAGGTGGAATCGTGAATTTATGAAGTTTAAATCGGAAATTTGTGAAGTCGAAATCGTGAATTCATAAACTTTAAGTTGAAATCGTGATTTCGAGAAGTTGAAATCGTAAATTCATGAAGTGGAAATCGTGAATTGGTGAAGTTGAAATCGGGATTTCATGAAGATCTAGAAAATTTATGTAGATGAAATCGGGAATTCGTGAAATTGAAATGGTCCAACCGGTCTTTCGTGAATATAAGAAAAAATACTTGAAATGCAATTAATTATTTAATTATTACATTTTGTAATTTCAAAACCGAACATGTTGTGCCCATAGGTACGTCAGTGTGTTAACATAGTAACTGCAAGGGTAGTTGAGTTTAACGTCATGTCAAAGGAAGTTACCTACTGTGAATTCATGAAGATCATTAATGACGTACATTGCATTTTATTTGAATGAATTTTGATTTACAATAAAAACAAATCTGAAACTTACTCAATTTAATTGATATTTTATTTCTTACATACTTGTCTGGAGTGTCATGTTATTTTGAAAGTAATAGCTTCATACCTTTTACCGCGATATGTTGTTCTTTCCCCTCTAAACGGATAGCAGGCCTTGCTTCCCAGAACGATTGGTCTGTTATATGTAACAAACGGGCTCGGTTTTCATCCAAATCCCTCTGTTGTTGCTTTCTATCATTATGTCTTATTTCGTTATATGCATTATCAATGCTCTGAATTTCAATCAAATGCACACATTATATATTGGCAACATATTTCTTCTGAAATACTCAAAAAAAACATGAGTTATACGCAAGAGAGAAACAAAGGTCGGTTCTTGAATGTACGAAATATACTGAGGTACTGAAACGGAAATTTTGACTCATCGAAAGAAGAAAAATTAGGTTTTCATTTTACATCTTAAAGGTTAAAAAGTATCATACATTCAGAGATATTTTTATGTTTATACACTAGTTTGATTTAAAATCGTGTGTAAGGAAGACAACTGCAAAAAAAACTTTGAAATGATGCTGTAAACAAACCTTTCTTTTCTAGTTTGCAATGATTTCATTTTGTCTTCTTTGTCCTTAATTGTATAATGTTTTTCTTGATATAATTCGAAAATAATTGCCCATGGCAAAGTATGAAGTTTAATATCTATCTTTAAAAATGAACATACCTTGTCGAAGTAATCACGAAAATGATATATGGAAGTGGCTAGCCGTACGGGCCCGTACGGCTAGCAAAAAGTTCTAGTCGTACGTGTGCCACGTACGGCTAACCAGGACACACTTATTGTCTAGCCGTACAACACTTCCAAAATTATATGAAAGTCGAAAATGCATGTGTTATTTTGTGTCTTTAAACGAGAATTTTAATAAAAAAAAACCCGCATTTGTCCTCGTATGCTTACTTTAATAAAGATTTTTCCCCATTTTGTCCACACAAAAAAGAACACGAAGGAAATAAAACATTGCCATCTTGACAAAAGTTACATGACGCATTGTACAAAGTACATTGTATATGTGTATGCAAAGTTATATTTATAGTTAAATAATAAATAGTTTAAGTTATAACATCGTTGTTTATAGCAATGTATAAAGTTTAATATTTATCTTTAAAATGAACCTACCTTGTCTAAGTAATCACGTAAATGATTTAAAGCTGCTCCACAATGTATCTGTCCATTTTCATTCGGAAGACAAATATGGTCGTTTTGAGTAGTGGTCAGCATTGAACAAAGAATAGTCAAAACAAAAGTAATGCATATAGCAGCCAAAAAAAATACTATAATTGTAAGAAATTTAAGGACTTTATCCATTCTTTTTTTTAAAGTTTTTTGAACTTGTGGTCTGTTTAAATACACTAAACTTTACAGTTACACATATCGCACTTCATAATCGTCTTAAGTATAATTTTTAGAATTAATCGATTAAATTGATTATATCAATATAATTAGAAATAAATAAAGAAATCACTGAAATGGTGATACACATTTCATTTCGTTAAGTTAAACATTAATTTTCAAAAGTAAGCAGAAAAAAATTAATGTTAATCCGAATCGATAAAAAAATAAACTGTAATCTAAGTCTTGTAAACCGACTGTTAAGTATGTGTCGCCGTTGTTAAGAGAGAAATAAACAAATGGGCAATAGGTTTTTAATTATTTCATTTCGTAAGGAAGAACATTTTTAAGAGACTAATGTCCCACCAAGGGGTAAAAAAGCTCAACCAGTATGAACTTAGTAGCAATTTAAAATACTTGAAATAATATTGTATTTTCACCATCGTGGATTTGTTATTGCCACTTTTTACCATCGTACTTTCGACTTTTCATCATCGTACCTTCGACTTTTGACTGTCGTGATTTCGTTTCGACTGTTTACCCTCGTCAATTCGTTGCTTTGAGTTATTTGTGTGTCGCGTTTGCCCTAACGGGACACTGTACCTACAGCCACAGCCAAATTTTTAAACATCTACCAATTGTATTACTTTTTACTTGGGTAAAACTAACGGAATAATAATATATGTCATATGTTGCGGTTTGAACCGGAATATCCGTCCCGAGGGGACCCGCCCATTGGGCCGGTTCCCGAGGGACGGATATTCCGATCCGAACCGCAAACATATGTCAGATATTTTTTCTTGCATATTCTTCCATATTATTTCATATTTAAAATGGTTTACCTCAATATGATATATGTTCATGGAAATTAAAGTCATTTTATCCATAACTATTTTCTTACAATAGTGTATGAACTTACAACTTAAATAACGACCGCGAAATGGCGTCATCCTTTGCACATATTTCCCTTCTAAAACGACGTCATTTTAACGAGCTTCATTCATAAAGTTCGCTTAAATTACATTGTTGTTTGGCACGCGACTCATCTGGCATCCCCATGCCAGATGAAATTTCCGGCATGGGTCAAACTCACGGAAACGCCAGTCTGCTATGCAAGAAACGCCAGTCTGATAAGCAAGAAATATCCAATTTCCATCAAATTGTCATACACAACGTTATAAATTTGGCCAATTTGCTACATAAGCAACTGTTGGTAGATTTATATACTCGTATTATTCAATATATGAAACAATAATTTGTATGCAAATATTCAGATCATTGTCACACTCTGTTTTTCCCAGAGTAATTATTCTAAATGTCCAAATTGATCAAAACTTGAAAACGTTTTCTTTTCAATTTCAAGTATTTTTTTTATTATCCAATGCATATGTTCCATTGAAAGTGCTCCAACTGATATATGTAATCATTCCATTTTTATGTTTAAGGCATATATATGTTAATCACAACACGTACGAGCAATATTGGTGTGCTGGTCGGACATCTGCACTCTAAACTAAATATCGATGGGTATATATGTACAAAAAAATGACTTTTCTTTATATCGGTCAATGTTGGGTATATACACCTTTGGGTACAAAAGTGTTCTTTCGCTTAATCATTTCCTGGTATAACATAAGAACGACTTAAGTTTTCTGTTCTCGAATCTGTTTCTGGAACCAACCAGTACTAAGTAATGTGTGTAAAGTTTCTTGCTGATGGAAACAACGGCTTGCCCCTGACGGGGTTTGAACCTACACGGCCAGCAATCCTTAGATTACTTGTCTGATGCGTTAACCACTCGGCTATTCCTTCACTCGTTTTTCAAACGGGAACTCAATAAAAACTAGAAATGTGTCCATAGGATACGGGTGCCCCAACACTCAACTGTGGTGCCCCAACACTCGACTGTTTTATAAACCTTATGACTCTAGGTCAAATATTTCTTGGGTACTTGTGCCACAACTTGAAAACTTAAAATCTTTTACTAAATAAAGAGTAAGAACTTTACAAATACTTGATAAATCCACAAGCAAACCCCTAGATGCATAAGTTCCGTTGCTGACCAACATTCTTGTAAACTTTCAGGCTTACAGATCAAATACGTTTTGAGCTATGCATAAACAAGTTGATAATTGCAAATTTATTATAAGTCAAGGGCAATAACTCTTACAAAGCTGACAAAAGTCCACATGAAATATCCCAGGTACATAGCTTTACAGTGATATTGATCATTATTCCAGTAAAGTTGGTTAATTCTAACTCAAGCACTCAAGGAACAAGTAACACAATATAATGTAACGGTTTTTATTAAGTCAAGGACAATAACTCTACAAATACTTGATAAATCCACAAGCGAAATCCAAGGTACACAACTTCACATGCAGATCAACATTCATGTAAAGTTTCATGATCCTATGTCAAATAATTTTTAGCTACGTGTGACACAAGTGTTTTTACTAAGTCAAAGAAAATAACTACACAGATACTAAATAAATCCACACGAAAATACCCAGGAGCACAACTACACATGCTTCGCAACATTCCTGTAAAGTTTCATGACCCTACGTCAAATATTTTTTGAGCTACGTGCGACACAAATTGAAAATTGTAAGTTTTACTAAGTCAAGGGCAATAACTCTAACAAAACATAACAAATCCAAAAGCAACACCCCAGGTACACAACTTCACATGCTGAGCAAGGTTTCTAAAAGGTTTCAAGACTCTAGGTCATATGTTTTTTGAAAAAAATACATGTTTTCAAAAATATTGTAGATCAATTTGTAAATGATGACAAGAGTACTGATGAAAGTACATTCTTAGTTTAGTTTAACTATCATGTCGTCTGTAAGATTATCATGTTAAGACATAGCCCAAATATTGGTTGATTCTTCGAATGTTGTAAAGAACTATATAATCATAGCATAACCCGAGCGCATAAGTTGCTTTTTTATTAGATATACAAATAATATTGTTTAATATAAATTTTAATGTAATTTTTATAAAATGGTATAATATGAAAACATAAAAGCATATCCATAATCTACGGAAACGTATAGCGACCACCCCTATATGTTAGTTAAAACAGACTTTTTGACAATTTATTTAATACATACTATATACCTAACCAATTTTTATAAACTTACTTGATCTGAAATATTTATCTAGTAATATATACAGCCCCTGCATGTTGGTAAAAACAGAATTTAAGACAATTTATTTAACACACGATATATATTTGACCAATATTTACATTGTTATTTGATCTTGAATATATATCATTTACTCAATTGCTGGATTCAAATTTATGTGACATTTTTCTGTTCATTTATATGTATTAGTTATATATATTGAGGTTTTAATTCGCATACTTCAATCATTATAAAATATAATATAACATATTTTACAATTTATATTTGATAATGATGACAGAAAAATCTCGCACAATAGAAAGCGTTGTTAAAGATTATATATGAAACATTTGATTGAGGCTTTTTGTATTCCAAAGATTAAGGAATGTTTGAATAATTGTGCTTCAGATAGTGTTACAAGATAAAAGACAAACTCCGTTGTTAATAAGCATCAAATAAGCTAGTGATGTAGTACCTGATGTGAATTAGTAATGATACAAACCATTATATTTTTGTAAGATATATAATATATATAGCTTAAAACGATAACTTCAGACAAATTTACCATTTTAAATGTATGTACAGAGGATGGTGCATGATAATTATTACATAAAAAAGGAATATTCGACCAGTTGATGTTATTATAGGAACATAGATCCCAAAGCGCAAGCGATATTTCGTCTTATATGATGAGTGACACGAGAAGGTCAGGACATTTGTATTTGATAAAGAAAGCAATTAAATCAAGTTATGATGTAAATCATATATAATACGTATTTTTTGTAATCTATCGTGGGTTTTATCTTATAATGCAAGATAAATTACTTTTAACTTTTTGACAAAATGAAAAAATAAAACACTTACATCTTTTTAAATATGTAATTCTTTCCAGAAATCATATTTGCATATAACAAACATACTATAAAACTGTAAAAAAAGTCATTTGATATATATCATATAATACATGATATCTGTTTGACCAATGTTTTAATTGTTATTTGATATTGAATATATATGTTTTACTCAATCTGCTGTTAATATTTCTGGATTAAAATTTATGTGAGTTTTTTCTGTTCATTTATATGTATTAGTTATATATATGTTAGGCTTTTTTATTATTATATAACATATTTTACAGTTTATATTTGATAATGAGGACAGAAAAATCCCACGCAATATATAAAGGAAGCAATTAAATCAAGTTATGTTGTAAATCATATATAATACGTATTTTTCGTTATCTATCGTACGTTTTTTATCTTATAATGCAAGATAAACTATTTTTAACTTTCTGACAAAATGAAAAAAATAATACACTTACATCTTTTTAAATATGTATTTCTTTCCACAAATCATATTTACATATTACAAACATGCTATAAAACTATAAAAAATGTCATTTGATATGTATCATATAGGAGTGGTCGCTATACGTATCCGTAGTTTCCATATCGAATACCATTCGGCTATGCCGTAAACAAAACATATCAAATCTAACCATTTTCTACGCATGATCTATTCCTGTTGTAAATTGAAAACCGATATCTATAACGCAAATGTGTTCAAGTTCGGACAGATTGAATATTTGCAAACTTTGGCACAATTTTTACTGTGACATTGACATACATATTATTTCATAGATAACAAATTGAATAAAAGTTGGATCGCTTATTCAATGTTAATTATCATCAATCGTTCTGTCACAAAACTATTATTCAAAGATATTTTGCAATTCATATTTGAGCTCATAAAAATATTTTATGGTTTATAATGATACTTCTTTTATCTTCTAATGTAAACAGTTTTAAAACTTATGACCCGCCCTTACCTGAAATAAATACACGTACTTTTCTTGTACTTGATCCAAGCATATATTATCTGTTTCTTTAAATACGTGACATTTCAGTCATGGATTTTTTTTAATGGTAAGCTTGTAATATACCTAGACAATATGTATATTCAAGGATATTGTATGCTATATGTGGTAAGCTATCAAAGTGAAGGGGCTTTTTATTATCATTTTCATGTTTGTTGAGTGTGAACGCTTATTAAAGTTTAACCTGATTTTCTTACAAAACTTATTCTCAGTTTCACAATCGAGTAAGATTAAATTAAAAATAAAATGACAGATGTAATAAGGTAGTGAGTATATCAGATTGGTATTTAACATGTGTATGTATAACGCATAAATTCGTCATAATCACCAGCTTTATTGACGCCCCTTTAATACGTTTAATCTTTATTAATTTAATGATGAAAACACAACAGGTGAATACATGTATAATGAATTATATAAAAATACAATAAATGCTGTGTTTGGATAGTTTTACATTAGTATTTCAAATTCGGGCAATTATTCTTATACATGTATTATAAAATGTTTACACTCGGTTACATTACAACGGTGAATTTTTTAATGTTAAATTCGGTGTGCCGACAAAAATATTGATTACATGTACAACATGCACTCAAAGAATGCATAAGACAAGTCTGGAATGTGCTTTTTATGAATCTGATATCTTAACTCAAATACAAATACTAAAGTACAAATACGCTAACATTTGCGCACACAAGAACTTAGAGTATCAAACAGTAAAAAGTTAATCAAGTTTATTTTATAGTAACAGAAGTACACGTAATCTTACATAGGATTTTTAGTGTAATGGATAAATTCCGAAAACATTTCCAGCCGAGTTAGAAATAAGCGTATGAATGTTTGACATTTTTACAAAAACGTTTTCTCTTTTTGGAAGATATACCGCTCCCTGTATATTTAAGGATGTGACAATTGTCATATTCTTTGAATTGAAATATTTTGATTTGTAGAGAACTGTTCTTTCTCGTTCCTGAGTAGTCCCTGTACATATTCGTATCCAAACAGTACATCTTGAATTTATGTCAGTCTCGGTTGGAGATGAACTTATATTGACGTGTATAGCTGCATAAACAAAATAGTATCGACCTTCTGGTACTCGTATTTTGCCTTTAAGATGATGTACACTTTCTGAAATGTATGAACTCTTTGGCTCTGTATGCAACGGTTGGTCTGTATGACGTTCGTTTACTGTTAAAACGGAAAAACAGTTCAATTGCAACAACATTGACAATAAAGATATTGATATTTTTATGATACATTTATACTTTGATTGCAGTTACATTGTACAAAGAATATACGTTTATTTCTATATCATGTCAGGTACAGAAGAAAACTTAGCTCCAAACTTCAAATAGTGAGTGTGGGGGTATTCTTTAATATAATGAATTATTTATGACTTTTACATAGAAAATACTTAATAAATTATAAAAGATAACCATTAAATTGTTTAAATTTGTATGGTATTTGAATACTTGTAGCGTTGTTGACCCTTACTATAATGTTGCTTTGAAATTTTGGTATAAAATGCAGTCAAGTGTCCAGATAATGGTTAAAGACTGGTGTTTCCACACTGCAGATATGGTCTCCCTTCTTTTCCTAAAATATAATTATGAACAATTCAAATGCAGGCTTTTAAGTAAACAAATGCTATCCGATTGTGGTAGCTTGATAAGATATTGACTTTTATGAAAAACCGACAAATGAAATCATATAGAACTTTTATTTTAACTAAAAACTTACACTTTTTCACTCGAGCATATTTGTTCACTCTAAACATCTATCTACTTATGACTGGGTATTTAAATCCCAATTACCACAACACTTATAACCTTCCTTATAAAAATGAAATGAAGTAAAGGAAGTAAAGCTGTCTGTACCTTTAGCAAGCCTTTGTTATCCAATTCGGTCAACAAACTGAAAATTGTAAGAACAAAACATAGATGGCATAGATTACTTTAATGACTTTAGGCTATAATTGTGTCATTTAATTATATATAAAATTATATTTTGGAATATTAATTTATTATATTAATAGCTGATAATGTCAAAATGTGATACTGGCCCCTTGTCATTACTAGATATGAAATAAATAAAAATAATGTTGCTGAAACTTCCAAGGCATGTTTAATATATAACGATAAAGTACAAGTTTTAATATGTGTATAACAAGAAAATATACACATTGAAATAATCATTTTTATTTTCTAGTTATTCTTCTTTAACATTTATTAAAAACATGTACCGTCTGCAGTGATAACATGTTCGCATCTTCGGTGTCTTTTACTTTCGGTGTCTTCATAGCGGGTGCCATTTCGTATTCATTATAATATTATATGATAAAATCGTTTTGTTATTGAGACCACATTTAAGTAAGACCTTCAGTGACTCTAGACCTATGGAATTATACATGAATAAATTTTGATCAATGAAATGTGGTTTAAGTATACAAATTGTATTAAATATGTAATATATTTAAAACGATTGACTATGATAATGTGAGTGACCAATTATTGATAATGTATCAAATGTTAATTATTCAATAAAAAAAACGACCTAAATTATAAAATTATAAAATCTATATCTGGAAAATGCTTTGTAAAATATTGTTCTTTATCTCTTTTTAAATAAATACGTTAAAAACATATTCATTATACTATTGAGCATGTTGAAAGTATTTTTTCTGCACATTGGTAAATATTGACATGACTTCTCATTCCCTATGTTCTTCAAGAGTCTTTCTTAAGCTATTTTTTATATAAATTTATCTACATTTAAAATGACATCGGATATTCAAATAGATTTATGTGTAACACAATATACATTAATACACTTGTTCCTATATATAGTAACAATATCGCCTATGATTTCATCTGATTATGAGTGTCGCGTAACCTATTATGAGTTTGCGGCCCGGGGCCGAGAACTAGTTATCAGCCCGCCGAACATGTTCACGTGTACATGTGAAACAATGACGTCCTAATTTACGTCATCAAACAGTTAAGCAGGTTTTAAGCACGAATCGCTTGATTTTATTATTAGAGCTTAAGCGTATTTCGTACAAATACAGTTTCATTACTATTGAAATTTAAAGAAATAATACGACAGATTCATTCCAAAAAAAATGAAAATAAAACTTGTTTCTAGATCCTACAGTAGTGTTCTTTTAACACACAAAAAGTAAACAACGCTGTATAGAAGTTACTGAATTGTACATTAGAGTATACAGTAGAATGCAGACAGGAATTTCAATGAAAGAAATTTCAAAGTATTTATTGAATCAAGATAATTTGGAACTGACAATATATTTTGTCATTTAACACCTGTGTGTATTTCTTTTGAACATAAGAAGTGATTTTGCAATCATGTATATGTTCTTATCTTTTTTTTTTTCTTAGAAACGATAAAGTTTCATTTTGTACTTAACTTAAAAAAGAACGTGTTTTATTTGTTTGCGACAAGGAAACTTGGACATATACACACAGCGCAAATATGGTTAATTATACAAATTATAGCGCTCAAATCTAAATTTATGGCTGTACCTTTAGAATCGTGATAGACACTTACAATCACATCTTTCTTTGGCACGATCAAATCTCAATCTACCCCATGTAATTTACTTTTATCAAATACGAGATCACGTATGACACTGATCTTTGCAGGTGAGCAGAGATCACAATTTATATCAGAGTAGCAATGGGTGTTCTTAAATTTGATCATCCTTAATTTCTGATCATCATATAAAACCTAAGGGTGTGTTAATATGTCATTTGCTAATTATGATATATTCAAATGTTCATCATTTCTACAAACATTCAGAAACATTCCAGAATATTGTTGTTTAAAACACTTCTATTTACAAAAGTAGGTAGTGCCTATATACGAGATCATGTGTGATAATCATTTCATTATCAATGCTACGTTAACATTTATCGTTGAAGTGAAATTTTCTAGTGTAATTGAGTCTAACATTTAAGTCTAACCTTTCCTTTCGCGATTTGAACGCATACAAAATGTATATTGCTAGTTTTTTTTCACCCTACTTATTACGTAATTTAAGAAAATTAAGCCATTGGTAACACAAATCACTGACACGTTTCAATCTGTAAATAAGTTCATGTGTTCCAGACCGCATATGTATATTCTTAAATCCAGTTTTCAGCGATTACAAAACCAACAACATAAAATATATACAAACGATTGACATATGATACACGATTTTGACATATCTGTATCTAAATATTATTTAACAGACATTATAAAGTTAAAGTTAAATAGTTTCATATACATGTATCAGCTTATATATGATTACACATGTATTAACATTATATCAGAGGTTATCGTAGAGCAATACGTATTTAAGTATTACAACGAAAAACATATTTATATAGATATTTGATATGAGCTATCACACTTATAATGCAATGTAGTTTTTTAAGGTTAAAATGCATCAGTTTTCAATCTTGTATTACACATTTGACCAAAACGAAATATAAGCTATGTAGATTAGGCAATACTGTTTAAATATTTTCTGGCATTGAAGTATTTGTGTTTATTTAGATAAAACGTTTAGTTATCACAAAGTAAACAATCGTATATAAATTTACAAGCACTTTGTGAGGTCTCTTTGGAGAAATTCATCTATGCCATATAATTATATAAAAACATGAGTATCTAAGAGAGTTCTTAACAAGGTCTCGATGAGTTCATGACTACATTGTCTTTCAACACTTTTAAGAAAAGTTTGTTCAAGGCTTTTTAAGTGAAGTAAAATTTTACATTTCTTGGAGATTTAAGTCACTTACCACTTTTTATGCATGTTTAACACTTTGCTTTGTTTATACTGCAATGTTAGCAGTACATAATGCATGTTTTATTGAATTTAGAGAGTCGGAATATCTCCATAATATTGATGGGCTTATATCGGTATGTAAATCTTTGAAGCACATAAAAACATAGGCCCAGTTGTTCAAAACTTTTGTTAACTTTAACAACAAATTAACTTAACTGTTGTTAAATTTTAACATTCTTGTTAACTAACGTAATGTTAACATTTTGGTTGTTCAGAGCTTTGTTAAAATGTTCGTTAGTTAACGAAAAGTTAATTTGATTAACTTTTCGTTAACTATTTAACAACAAAAAAACAATCCCATAATGCAGTGTCCTACATCCTGTACAGTAATCCAAGATGGCCGAAATTCAAGAGGTAAAATCACAAACTCTGAGTGAAAACCAAATAATAAAGCGTGCCAGGAGCACTAACTTTTCATGCAATAAAATATCTGTCCTTGTGGCAGCATATAGTAATAATAAAGGCCTGCTTGAAGGCACCAACATTCCAAACAATGTAAAGAACAGGATCTGGGAGGAAATTGCTCTCAGAGTTTCAGAGATTGGCACTGCCTTAAGAACCACCAAAGAGGTAAAAACAAAATGGTTCAACCTCTCTCGTATTTCTAAGCAGACACACAATGACTTCAAGCAGTCTTTTAACAAAACTGGAGGTGGACCACCACTTAATTCGCCCAAGGGCTTCATCAAAGATATAATTGACCTCAACACTGATTCGGAGAATTTTTGTGGGATAGATGGTGGTTTTGAGACCGAAATTTGTTTTGATTACAGTAAGTTTATGTTTTATTCTATAATGGTTTTATTGTGTACCAAAATAAACATAAATAGCTAATAATTACAAAACGTAAATAAACAAGTTTGAAGTTAGGAAACACCCTTCGTCGTCTGCAATATTTTGTTACTAAATATAGTATACAGCTATTTAAAGAGTGACCTTGACTTGCTTTTGCCTCGTTCTGAAGCCTCACTCAGCTGTTTACTCTTAAAATCTACAATTTTTCGAAAATAACGGCAATAATTGTTGTTTTCATAATATTCAGCCAACCTTAACCAAGCTAATACATTCAAAGAATGACAGAAAGGAATTATAAAGGGAGGCTTACAGGTTAAAATTTTCGTTGTTTGAAGCTTCGCATGTGTTGTATCTGCTTGATTGAGAGTACGTATAAGAATAAGTTCCATAGTTATTGGTAGGACTACACTATTGATTTTCCCTTAATCATCGACATAATACTTTTATCAAAACGTTTAAAAATTATTATAAGTATATTTTATGATAAATTGGCCAGAAGCATCGCTTAATAAGTAAATAACTTTCTATAACAATGATAGGCCTCACAAGAATTTTCTACACATTTTCCTACAAAATGTTATTGTATTAAATTCTACTGTATTATCAAAAATAAAAAGTTACAAGAGGCCTTAGCCAGGGTTATAGTAAAAACTAACACAAAGTGGCAGATACTAAATTTCAAAAAATATATAAATTATTATAATATTAAACTTATTACTATCATTTATTAACCTAGGTAAAGTAAAAATAAATGTATTGAACCACATATTGTGCACAAATAAAGATGTCCTCAAATGGAAATGATCAAACTATTATTTTTATAATTACAATCACTGATAATACAGTTACCAGCAATGAAGGGTGTCAGATAGACAGTGTAAATATGGAGGCTGGTACGTAGACAAAATATTAATTAATATATGTAGAGTATGGTTTGGATAGAATACATGACCAACTCTGACTGGGTGTTCAATTTCTATGTATTTTAATGATGTGAAAATGAAACCTATAAAAATAAATAAACAATTATTAATACATGAAATACAAAACACAAATTAAGATACAAATTCAATATCAATATCATTTCAACATTTCATATTTCAAACAATTCCAACTATTTAATTCATACATTTCAACACATTTCTTTTAAGTTATCTAAAGTAAAACATATCTTACCAGGTGCAACTGTCTGACCTCTTTTATATAGACCCTTACATTTAAGACCGTATTCAAGTTGTCGCCCTTGGATGACGTCATTTGGGGAGGGGATACGGTGGACAATGCCGATACGATTAAGTACAATAATAGAGGGATATAAAGATCTCAATCCTTTCTCTCTTAAGATTGGCAGATTGAAATTGCCAAAATTTTGTGTAATTGAATAAGATATTACAAAAAAGGATGGTGAAATGAAAAAATATGTTTACTATATAATATGGTTATCGATTTGTTTTAATAGTAGACCATATTCCTGGGTAACTGATCATGATTACCATTTTCGTGAGATTCTTAATAATGAAAATTTTACCAGGCAGTTAAATCGTACAAACTTGCATATACCAGAGATATAGATAATGTATCTATGTCTCTGCTAATATATACAATACCCAAAAGATATTTTGAGTTTTAAAAATGTAAGGATTCTGTAGTTTCGAAAAACGGCTGCGTAATAATTAATTGCAAGATACTGGTTTATTAAAAATCATTTAAATCTAAGCATTACTAAGACAAAGAAAACAATATAAATCTATGTAATTTCAAAAAAAAAAATGTAAAGGCATAAAAAGTAAAAATTGTTTTGAATGTACATGACTGTATACTATTTGTGTTGGCAAAAAATGCACTCTCAAAAAAATCGTTCATCACACCAATATATTTAAGCTGGTAATTTAATATTTTCAACTTGATACTTTTTAATTCATACTCTGCTTATCAAATATTCAAAAAATCACAAAAAAACAACAACAAAAAACAAGTTGTGAAACACGTTCACAGAAATTCGTTATTAACTGAATTATGATTTTACGTATTTTTGACTGTGCCAGTTGGTAGGACTCTGGTTCGAGTATCAAATCAGTAGGGCATGACCAATAAAGTCCCTAGGATGATCCATAACAAAATTCGGACCATAAATATTTTGACAACTAACAAAAGTGACGTAATCTGATGTAATGTTATAACTCTAAAAAATGCACCCTGGTGATTTATGATATCACAGCCAAGTGCCGCTTGTATATACAACATATATGTACCCTGTTAATTAATATGTTACGGCCCAGTGGCGCTTATATATACACATCTATTTATCTATGAAATAAGTTACTGGGAAAAGGTCTTTAAAGAATAGATTTTTAATATCAAAATTATCTTATTATCGTCTGTTGCGAATCTAAAATTATAAAAGTCAATGCCATATGGTTTTCGTTCTTTCCGGAATATTTATAAAATTATATCCTTCACTGGTTCTTTGAAATATTTTTTATACGGCATAATGAAAAAGAATCAGTAAGTATTGACATAATGCATTCTGTTATTGTTCTATTAAAGCTTTAAAAATAATCATTAAAAGACATTGGCAATCTTATTTTCAGGTTTGTCACAAATACGCCGGAATTTTCTGAATGACAGAAAATAACACAGGAAACTAGAAAATGGCCATTTAAATATATAATAATAGGCAATTTCAGTGTGTATGGGTGTTTATAAAATATTAAAATTTGATTTAGTTACTAGCGTTTTATCCTGGCATTTGAGAAAATCTAGATCTAATAAATATATTCGCTTTGGAATTTCGCTGATTCACTCCGTAGCGACACGGATTTATAAATCCGTGGTAGCGAGAATTAATCTCAATCTTTGCTTTTGTATTTTATTCTATTGTCTTGATATTGAATTTATGTATGCATGCATAAATTTTTACATGTTATAATCATAATTAAACGATAAGTATTTACGCATTAAACTTTTCAATAAGCTAACTTTCTATGCGGTATGCATAGTTTTATCCCCCATTTACGTCACATCCGGTAAGGGAAGTAACTCTTCCCTGACTGTTATCGCTTAAATGAAAGGGTCTATAAAATAATAGAAAATCTATTCTATAAAGAACAAACATAAAGTTGAATTAGATAAATACAGCATTCAAAATGTTCTATGAAGAACTACTGAAGTCAACTTTATAATGCAAAGTTTGAAAATGATTTCTGCCTTAGAAAAGAAATGTAAATTGCCCATGTATAAAATGATATGAAATCACTCACATCCAATCACATTCTCACTTAACAAATACACAAGATATTTATTGGACATCACTTAACAACACAGGACATAACAAGGACATACCAAGAGACAGTTCACTGAGCATAGTAACTCACAACAAGAACAAGACATAACCCATAATCCTATAATGATGAATGAAAATGATGTCATGTGATTACGCCTAAATGAATGAGAATGTACAGTTAGTTATTCACAACAGTGATAACAACTGTGTGTTAATATAGGATGAGTATACAGATAGGCAGCAATTTGACATTATCTACATATATATTTAGCATAATCTTTAACACATGTGCACATGATACTTAAACTCATTATCTGACACATACATACTGCTAATTATGTGCACACACAAAAATTTCAGATACTAATTAAAATGTATATTACATTTGTATATAAATTTGTCTTCATATACTATCATACTATCTAATTATTGTAAAAGTTTAGACTTAATGTTGAAAATTGTATAATTCACTTGTTTAGACCTGAAATATTGAATCTAGTTCCTTAAATGAAAAAAGGGAACTTAAGAAGTCAGACAGTAAAAGAACTTGTTCACATTCATAACATGTATTTTAAGCCAACTTAATCTTTCTAGCAATTATGCATGAATTTGAAATAGTGTTGCCTATCACTATAATTATGAAGAAGCCAGAAGTCATCTTAGACATGTATGTACCCTTTACATGATGTAAGGGAGACAACTCATAAGCCCATATTTATTATTATTATTATTATTATTATTATTATAAACATATCAATGTCATCACAGGTAACACATCAACAGTATCAACAGTATCTGATGAAGTTGAAGTCATTCATACAGAAAATGTGAATGTTGAAATAGTGCAAGAGGTATGTGATAATGGACCATTTATAAAACTCAATATTTCCCTTTAAGAAATAGAATTTAACTTTCTTTTTCAAATTCATGAAAAATCAATATATCTTTAAGATTATACCAGCACGCTGGCCTACTTCAACAGCTGTTGCTTTATGATTGTGTAATAATTAACATTACTAACATAAGCTTAAATAACAATGTATTTTCTTTCTAGAATTCGTGATTTTATTAAAAATTTAGGTTTTTATCTCTCTTTTTGCATTCCTTTTCACTGCTGCAAATAAAGAAAAACAGGACTTGGAATAAACTAAATATTTCAGACTAAAACTGATAGCTCAGACATGACCAGCCAAAATAAGAGACAGCAGACATGTTATGAAAACCAGAAGCAGAAAAAGTAACTATAATAGTTTTACACTCTTGTATTATATCCATGATAATTGCCTAATATCTTCAAAGTTGTTTTGCCTACAAATGCATCAATATCTCTGTAGAGTGAATGTAGACTTGATACTTAAAGCTATTTCTAGAGCAGCATCTCTTTTTTTCTGATTACCTATAATTGAATTTGTAAACAATATCTGAGCTCTCATAAGATCTTCCTTTGCAATATGTTTCAAAGAATTATTATAGTAAAGGATTTTTTACTTTTCTAAATCAAAGTTTATGACTGTTTTTAAATATTTGTTTTCTTATGTAACTAAAAATCAGTAGTATCAGAACATTTAGAATACAGTGTTAATGTAAAGAAAGTGAAATAGTTATTTCATACTTGTAATACAGCATATACATACGGAAGACAGGCAAAACCCCACACATCAAAACCCCACACCTAAAAATTTTATAGAGTGGACAAAACCCCACAACTTAATTTTATAGAGTGGACAAAACCCCACACCTTAATTTATAAAGTGGACATAACCACACACTTTTTATTACTATTATGTATGGTCCTTTGACTGACAATAAAATAAAGGACATTGTTGACACTTTGAATAATTAATGCTAATTAAGATTAATGAATATTAACCCTTTGATTTTTATATATAACAGTTTGTAATATTTGAATGCTTATCCTTTGAATTTTATTTAACAGTTTGTAATATTTGTATAGTATATGATACTCTATTATCATTTAATCATATTGTATATTGTAAACTGAAATTAAATATAACATACCATTAATTAACATGATCAAAACAGATATGTAAAATGATTAAAGTAACTCTATCAAACTTTAGTAAATCTTCTGTTTTATTCTTTTCTAACAAGATCAAAATCATATGAATTGTATGGTTTTATAACAAACAATTAGGTGTGGGGTATGTCCACGATATAAAATTGAAGGTGTGGGGTTCTATGAAATTCAGGTGTGGGGTCTTGTCCACTCTATAAAATTGTGAGGTGTGGGGTTTTGATGTGTGGGGTTTTGTTCTACATTCTATACATACATGTGTATAAAACATAAGAATACTGTTCTTGATATAACCAGGCGAAAGGTAACACAAGAAATGGTTTGGGAAGCCCAGCTTCAGTTCTTCAAAGAGCAGAGTGAGACTGAAGTGAGGAGAAGGCAGCTCATGGATGCCAAAGAAAGTTTTTACAAAGAAGCAACTGCTGCATTGAAGAAATCAAATGCTTGCTCAGATATTTTTCAGTTAATAAATGCAAGCAAAGAACCATGAAAGGTAAATATGTAATTTTTGCTGCAGACTTAAAGCAGTATGCCTTCAGGTTCCTGTTATTTTTCATGATTTTTTTGAAAATCTACATAAAAAATGTATTTTATCAAGTGAAGAAAAAAAGTAATTTACACATTGCAAATAGCAATATTTAATCCAAGTTATTACTAAATACAGGTCACAATAGCCCTTGCTAAGTAATAAATATGGTGATAATTTCTACAAAATCAGTTATTAATTGCATATGAAATGTATATCATTACTTGAATTGTGAGTGTTTTTACTTTTCTTAAATCTTTGTGATGATTTCCAATAATTCTTTGATTCACTAGGAGGCATGCAGCTTTAAAGTCCACAACAAAATTTAAATTTTCATTGATTCTATTTTTCTTCAAAAGAAATTTCTGGTTATATAATCTCTTATATGATTGCCTTCCTCTGGTCCATCATATTGGGCTGCTGGTTGGGGTGGTTCCACTGTGATATCATCTGTGAAACCAGGCTCCCCTAACATGATTGCTATGTTGTGTATAATGGATTATTTTTACAGGGAATACACACACATGCAGATAAATAGAAGCATTCAAGATAGTAAAGACAAGACATGTGTTATTAAACTTCATACCCACTGTCTCCAAGGAGTACTCCATCACCAAGTTGCCTGAAGTTTCTATCCAGGTGTTGGCACAGTGAAGATGACTGAAATACAAAGCTGTCATGGGCTGATCCTGGTCATTTAGCATTTACACTTATGAATTTACCTAAAAAAATAAATTGAAATTCTTTAATGGATTATTATTCAGATAGAACAAATTGCATGAGTTTAAGTTCTCTACTTTAATAATGAAATTATTCAACCCTCTGGCAAGTATGAAAGAGTGTATGTTTGTTTGTTCTTCATGATTATGCTATGTTTCACACATGAGTAAGAAAATATTTTCTGACTACTGTGTGTGATACATTAGCACAGTCTTACAAAAGAAACAACTTCTTTATAGTTTATGCATAATTAGAAAAAAATACCCCTGTCTCAACTTTTGTAATGAAGTTCTGGAAACAAATGCATGTAAAAATTGATAACCCATATGCCGAAGTTAAAAGATTAGTGAAGTCTATAGTCACATATCAAGTTTTTTCCTTTAAGTGATGCATTTATTTTCATCAATTGGTATATATTACAAGAGTGGCAATAGCCACAAGTGAAATGTGATAATTTTCTTTCCACAGGATGAAAATAAGTCCTGTTTTTATAGAACTTGAATTTTCTTCTTGTTATATAGTAGAATAATACAATTTTTTCTCTTTTTTCTTTTCTTATTACAAGTCACTCAATCAATTTTATATTCTGTCATTTACTTTTGTTTGCCCATATTTGGGTGTCTAAAGGAAGTTACTTGAAACAATTGTGCAAGTATTTTTGAGTCTAAGACTTGGTAATAAAGAACAACACACTGCTTTCTCGTTTCAATTAATTATTATGTTTTTAATGTCTTATGTTATTCTTTTTGTATTTCAGGCCAATGCTTTAAAATTTTTAATTTATCTCAGCTACTTCAAAACGTATTTAAGTATTTTCATATCAGCTCAAGAACAGTGAAAGTTTAGATTTATTCTAATTTTAATATGTATGAGTAACAAGTTGAAACTATTTTCAACTCATTTCTGCTAGTAATGTGTTTTTATGTAAGAGTGATAACCGTCTTGTCAACAAATTTTGCTCTTTAGCATAATTAGCCATGTGCTTTTTCACATTTGATAAGTTAGGTATAGTTCACATATTTTTGTTTATCTTATTCTAAAAGGGCACTTAATTATTGATTCATAACAAAAATAAAATAAAAAAGACTTGTTGAAACATGACTGTAAGTCTATTTATTAAATAACATACACATAAAAAGTACATTTATAAAATATCATACATTGGTCCAATCTAATTTGAACAGAGTATGATATATTTGGTTACAAATGATATGTTTTGCTCTTGTTACATGATCCATGTTGTTATGGCAGCAATTTTTATGCACTTGATCCTGCATGTTTGTTTTTGTTTTTTCCAGTGATCTCTTTGTTTATCAGGATTATTTGAAATGATGTTATTAAAACTGTTGAAAATTGAATTTGTTAATAATTTCTGAAATTCTTGACACAAATAATAATGTACCTAACCATTGCCATAATTGCATGTGCTATTTCTTTTAGAATAAAAGTGGAGACAGGAAGTTAAAAACCTTTTTAGTATCAAAGTATGTGATGTATCATATTAAAAAATTGGAAAGGGCAATAATTATCAATTGTTACCCTTGCTAAGTATCAAAACAGTTGAGTTCAAACTAAATTCCCACCCTTGTGCAATTGTAGTGCACTAGACCTGAACTAAAAGTGCACACCATATGCACTTCTAGTGTACTAAGCCAAATGACCGGACATGGGAACATGTTCTTGATATAATGGAACATTGAATATATACTAAAACTTACACAGACTTGAGGATCTGCATAAATTTACATAATAATCTTAATCTCACGCATGTAATCTTGTTGGCATCTTATTATATTGGGATTGAATTTCTTGGATATACCCTTACAAAGATGCAATGACATTAATAAAGTTGTATTTTATGTGATTTATGACTTGCACAAAAATCCTTGATATAAGTTTCAAAAGGGTGATATACAAGTACCTAATCAGATAAATTAACACTGACCAGCCAATAAACAACTTGATAAGATTAGTTTCTACCCAAGCATTGTCATAATAATATTTGAACATAAGAATCAACATTTAAGAGCAATAGGAAGACTTTATATCAATAATTTCAGTGTGCTCCTACAGTAGCCATGTCAAACTTTGAATGGTTATATCTGACCTTTACATACATTTACTAGTAGTATGAAACATGAGAACCCCTGGAAGGGCCTCTATATTTTCTATGATATAAGCAATACAAAGGGAAGCAACTATCAAAACACAATACTAGACGACAAAATGAACAAAATAACAGAATGCTTAAAATAAATGCATAATAAAAGGAGGAATATTTAAATTACCTGAATGATCAACTACTCCCATCACGTTTATCGACGGAAATCGCTTTCTATTGATGTAGGCTCTCTGTCTTTCTCCACCAGGCTTGATTATCTGGACATGTGTCCCATCGATACATCCAATGACATTGGGAAATCCGGATACTCGATAAAAAGAACTTTTATTCTGTGAGGTATCACTTGGCCATTTTATGTACTGGTCTTTAATGTCGCAGAGTGCATTTGTCACCGAGGCAATGATTCGGGACACTGTAGATTTATCTCTTCCAAGAGTATCCCCAACAGTTTGCATAAAAGAACCGGTAGCATAATACCTTAAAGCTATAAGAACTTTCTCTTTGACACTTAGAGCATGCGAGCGTTCAGTTTCAGATTGTAATTTGTCATGCAAAATATCACATAGGGAATCAATTCCATCTGGAGAAAATCTGTACCTTTCCCGGCATTCACGAGGTGTCAAATTATCATTAAGGTATCTTGTGTTTTCTCTATATTCCTTTTTGCGTTTGGTAGTTGTCACAGAAACAAACAAAGCAGCCATTTTGATTTTTATTGTTAACCACTAACAAAAAAAAAATAATTCACCTCTTCAGGTGAATTAATTTTATTGTTAAATCCTTGTTAAAGCCGATGTTTTAACAAAAAGATAACGCTATTTTTTTCTGAACAACTGCTTTTTTAACAAAGATATTTAACAAAAAAATTAACAAGACTTTGTTAATTTAACATGCTGAATGCCCAGGAAGTATACCGTATAACGTTATATCTGCTTAATAGCTTACACATTAATTGCCTAATGTTATACCGGTATGTTCTAAATTACAGTGGTATACTAAAATATAGAGCATTACAAAGACGTATTTAGAAGACAACAACGTTCATTTGATGAGCGTTTCAGCTCAATCTTTCTGGGAATCAAGGTCGTCAACCAGTTTAAAAGGGAAAGAACAACAAGACACAACAACAGGTATAAAACGAGAGTATTCTATAACATGACAGGTGAAAATCTGTAAACAATTAAAATTCAAAATACTTAAGCATCTTGAAAACTTATTTTATTGGAAATAGTCACCATTCATTGAAAAAAGAGCATTGATTCTTTTATTTGCATGCATATTCAGGTATAGATAAAAAGGAAATATATGAAACATTAAATTTGTAAGACTTTTATGGTTTGTAAATTTTTTGGTTAAGTATATTTAGGAATGCCACATTTTTATATAAATGGAAAAGAAATGAATAATTTCACTGAAATATAAATTATTATATTATAGATAAATATAAAAGTTGCTGGAAAGGCATCTTTTATGGAATGGATTCGAAATAAGCCTCTTAGCACAAGCAGTTTTTTAGGCACTGACTATGCTATAGGAACGGTCGACTTGTTCTACCAGTTGATGGAGCATACTTCCTATAGTCGTGAATTGATTTCTTTGAACCTTGTGATCATTCAACTGGAAAACCAAACTTTGAAGACTGGAGGAAACCTATAAAGGATGTTTTTTTCAAATTCAATATAAATACAACAAAATTTGAAAAGACTTCAAACATTCAACCTCATTATATTTCAAGAAACAAATTTTATAATTCATATAGAACCTATGTATGGTGGTGAAATTTCAGTTAAAGTTAGTAATATAAGATACCTGAGGCATACTTATGATTATTCTTTTGGACATTACCTAATATGAATTCAGAGAACCATGCCGCAAATTGTACTTAAAATTGTGCATTGATCAATAACACAATTACTCGAACAATATGTGTATTTCTTTAAATTTCAGTTAGTGTAAATGAGAGGTAAATTTGTAGTTTTGATCGTAGGCATGCTAACGGTAAAAATATTATATAAAATTCATCTGCAAATAATTTCACATGTTTTTGTGTATAAAACAAAAACAAAATTGTCTAACAAAATTGAAGAACAACCTTAATCTTGTAAATCAGCAAAGTGTTAGTGTGTGTTTGAGACTTGCGATATTTCTCTCCGTGCTAATCATACTGGTGGGGATATGGAGCTGAACTATTGGCCGGCTTAACAACAGAAACAATGGATATTATCCTTTGCCAAAGACTCCGCCGCATAAACGCCGCCACAACTCTGTCTCAACGTCCAACACGAGCCCGTGCTAACAAGGCAAATGACTCTGACGTATGGCTTTTCTACGAGAAATGAAATCTAAAACGAAAACTGATTTATCGAGTATTAACAGCAAAATTGACGATTTTAATAATATGGTTAACGTCTTTAAAGTAAATGAAAAGTTACGCCAAGAATGTGAATGTATGAAGAATGAGGGTCATTTAAGTAGAAATATTTTACGATGTCTTGGTATTGTCAGTCGCAGTATTCAGTGCGTGAAGATAACACTTAGCGTGTACAACTGCACAGGCGAGAACTGAACCAAAACGTAAGTTGAGGCCACAAACTAGGGTATATATGCATCACTTCGCTCCGATCAGCTCATTGTTGACGGTGACATGTACAAATACAACGACACAGACAATGCGGTCGAACGAATTAGTAATTGGAGATTACGTAGTCGTGTTGGCGCGAGCAATGGATCGCAGCCATTGGGCGCTAGTCGCGGGAATGATGACGTAGATACTCGTGGCTATCGGGTTCAGAATTACTACAACATTACTAATTCATTTTTGCGTGGGCGTGTGAATAACAGACGATTAGCTAGCGAGACATATACCCAACCAATTGACAGTAAATATCATGAAATGATCAACAGTGACCTTGACCTCTAGGGAATCGACCAAGAACTAATAAACAATAAAACCCATTTAAACATACTCACACTGAATGTCTGCGGTCGTTATAGTATTATTGACAATTTTGAAGTTTTCAAGTATTTATGACATTTCAGTCCTTTGTGAAACATGGAGTAATTTAAAGGGTAAATTTGATAATTTTCTTAATTGTTATGTACATTTTGACTTTGTTCGCCGTATGAATTTTTACTCCATAAGGAATAGCAGAGATGTTAGCCTTCTTATTAGAAGTAATTTGGCAAAATTGAATATTACTCGCCGCTTATATCATGAATTTTTGTTGTATTGTATTTTGAGCAATCTACGGTGTTTACATTTGAAGATTTTATTATGTATTTAACATATATGTCACCAGTAGGATCATGTTATTATGATGATAAAGAACAGATAAATGGCATTTTTTCTATACATTCCAACATGTATATGTACTGATTACCCAAATAAGTCTTTATCTATTGCTGGAGATTTGAATAGTAGATGCAAGGTCTTTCTAGCTTAGATTTGAATAGTAGATCCAAGGTCTTTCTAGCTTATATAAAATAGTTCTAGCTTATATATACCTGGTGATAATTTTTTTCATATTTTGTGGTAAGGTTGATTATGATGGTAGTCATTTTAACACTCTATGTCACAGTGAAGATAGTATTCGAGGAAACTATCATGACAAGTTCTTAGATGATCTGTGTTGTTTATTTGATATTCACATATTGAATGAAAGGTTTGCGGGTGAAAGTAATTGTAATTTTCCTGCTTTTCTTATGACGTTGATAGTTTGGTTGACTACATGATAGCCTCCTCGAATTTATTTCCTTACATTAGAAATTTCTGTGTCTTAGATAGAGATGATTCGGATCATTTCTCACTGTCATGTGAATTAACATTGATCAAAAGCCTGTGCAAAATATGAAAAGTAATGTTGTTGAAACTCTTACACACATTAAAAGGTATAAATGGAATCAGTCTCGCCTGTTAAGTTTTATTGATAATTTTGAAAGTACGTTGCAAAATATGTCTCGTTCTTTGTGTGATTCGGTTTGTGATTAAGTTAACACAGGTGTTGAGGCAATTACGTCGTTATACTACGAAGCTGCTCAGTGTATGCTAGTCAAAAATACGTCGGACGTTTGTCTTCACAGCCTGCGTGGTAGAATTCTACTTGTGACAATCTTAAACATATCAACTATCGGACGCTAAGAAATTTTAGAGAATCTTATTCCCTGTTGGATATTTAAAGATTAACGGAATGACTTTAAAGGTACTCCACTGAGGTATGGTCGAATGTCACAAAAAAAGTAAAATTTCACGAACCGAAAATTTTTTGTTACCTGCGTGTTAGGGACATTTATACAGAATCAGTTATACATTGATATGTCTTCTTTGGCTTGTCAATTCTTTTGAAACATATGTTATCTCCAATTTCGTGGGAAAAGCGTTTAAACGCCTTTCAGTTTGCAAATCTGAATGTAAACAGCGGTCACGTGATGAGTTTCGGGAGGACTAAAAAGCGAAACGGAGAATTTTTTGTGTATCGGCAGCAACGAAAATGCGAAAGTGACACATACCAACAATGCATAAATTTAAGAGCAAATTATGGGTTTGTTTGTTAAATTTCTTGTTGTGCACATATGTTCTTGTTAATAAAATCATTCAAAAGCAATTTCAATATATTTAAAGCATTATATTCTTGTAATCATGATTTTTTACTCCGTTAGGCCGCTATTCCATTTGTACGTGGTCCGTTCTCCGTGTCCGTGATACGCTTCCGGGCATGTACGTGAACATTATTCCATATGTGCGTAAATGTATCCGTTAGAGGCTCCGTATATACACGTGGTTTTATCTTTCCTAACTGAATGGTTGCGATGTCGCTTTCAAGCATGTGGAATTAAATTTCTGGATCGCAATCCAGGCTGGTCTAATTTCACTGAGACAAAGAAAAAAAGTAAAAAGAAGGCATAGGTGGTGGGTGCGCCCAATTTATGAACAAAGGAATCAACATGGCGTCTACTACCATCTGATCAAAGAGCTTGAATTATCAGAAGAAGAATTCAAGCTGTACTTCCGTCTTAACAAGAATCAGTTTGGATTTGACTCTCTCACATGGAGGAGTTCCTGGCGAGGCAAGGCAATGCAGAACTAGGGAGCCAATTTGTGCCAAACAACGTCGGGCTATCTTTTTTGGGGGTAAAATTATCGTATGATAATGTTTTAAATCAAAAATTTTACTCTTTACATGTGTGTACAATTTACAAATAACTGAATTTACTTTTCATGTAAAGCATCTGGAAAATTTTGATCTTTAATCTTTTGAACTTGAATCGCATTTTTCAGTAAATTTTTTATAAAATCTGAAAAAAAAACACATACAAAAGTAAATGATTTATTTGCAAAGAACATTCGTCAGCCAATGTTATGTAAACAAAATCAATTGTAAATCAATAACCATAATCTCATAGTAATTTCTATAGACATTGATTTTCATAAATTGTTGAACTTCCACAAATATAATCAAGAAAAGGCAACTAACTACCAGTTAAGTAAATAATATTAAAATATTTTCAACTAAATATAAACAAAAGTACAAAGCGAATAAAGATTCTGTAGTGTTTACACCCCGGTGCAAAAAAAAATCAGTAAAACCATAAATTAGTTACCATGTTTGTAATGCATGGGAATTAAGACATGCATGGGAATTAAGACACTGATTACGAAAATGCAAAAACACATCTAAGTATGGGAGAGCTCTTTGATTTAAAGTTCTTTCGAATTACTCCAGTGACTGCATTGCCTCACTTAAGATATCAAGCCCTGTGGTATGCGTTATTTGAGAACTATTCTCATTACCAGCAGAAAAGTCGTTTTTGTTGTAGGCAATGCCACTCAACCCAGACCCCTGTTGGTTAGTGTATTGGCAGCTGGTTTGAATTATAAGCCTGTTGATGAGGGTAGGAATGATGAGTCTGACAGGGATATGGCATAAATGGTGGTAAACTGTCGCTGGTTTCAACTGTATACAACAACATTGATACTTGCATTTGCAGCCATAACTGTTTATTCTTAGGAAGCTGTTTTGTTCTCAATGCACAGCTTTCATAAAAAGCGTCGACAGCATCTCTCTTAGGTTGCGCGTATTCTAAAGTGTTAAGTCGTGACGCCTGAGCCTTTGCAATTTCAAGAAACGACGTCTCAAATTCGGTCATAGAATATGTGCATTTTTTGTCTTCTTTGGCCTTCGTGATTCAGTGGGGTTCTTGAATGTACTTTCCTCAACATGCACTGAGTTTGGTGGTGTTTCCCTTAGACTCGGACTAGGGGACTGGCTGACAGAACTTTGGTCTGTTACGTCATTTCTGAAGGAAAAAAAGATGAATAGTAAAATCTAAGCAGAACGCCTCAAGATGAACAAAATCATTTCATGTAAATCAAACTTGGGGAAAATATTCCATTCCAAGAGATTAAGAAAAGTAAAATTATTCCCAATGCTTGTATTATTTAACATATAATATGCAATTAATGACTGAATTTACCAAATTTATCTCCTTATTATTTAAGCATTTCTCACACAGTAAGGAATAATTTGCATACTGCGACCTGTTACTGTAAATTTACGTAGTTTTTAAGTATTATTTTCAATAAAAAACGTACATCCTTTGTTCGCTTGACAATATTTTACCTTTAAATACCTTTCTTAATTTAAATGAAATCAGCCGCTTTAAAGGGACTCCACTGAGGTTTTTTTGACATGATGGGACTGAAAATATTTTTACCAGATAAATGTACTATTTGATGTAGGTTTAGACCACTAATCTTTGTGCAAAATTTCAGATTATTCGCGCACTTCGTTTTTCCAGATATAATTATTCATATTGTAAAAAATGACCTTAAATGAAAAGCGTTTTAACACTTTTCACTCAAATCGGGCTAATAAAAGCATAAAAATAGGATTTTCAATTTATTTCATAGTATATTTCTTAACCATCTTTGCATATATTTCTGTTTAAAATGCCCCAGTTCATTTATGTAAAAAATTCAAATGTTATGCTTTTAGGCTTTTAAACCTCAGTGGAGTCCCTTTAAGATTACGCTCAAAATCAATATTGTTTTCAATTTGTACTTGATTTTGAAAGTCAGTGTTGTTCGTGAAAATTTAAGTTATATTTTTAAGAACAGCAAAGAGTCACAAGACCAAATTGTGTGCATTTACTTCTAAACAAATTACTTCCATGAAACAATTTGCTAGCACATGTTATAAAAAAAGTGTAGATTGGGTTATAATAAAGTGTAAATTGACTGATTATTAAATGCGAGATGAAGTATTGTACATTCAAATACAAGTTTTATTTTCATATTTAGATGATAATTAATTTTGATTAAATTTTACATCTTAAAATTGAACATGCTTTTTGTATGTTTCAGATTTTTGGCCACCGGGGAGTCGTTTTCATCTCTTGCTTTTTCCTACAGAATAAGCGAGCCAACAATTTCGAGATGTGTACCGAAGGTTTGCCAAATTATTTGCGACATGTTTGCTCCTATTTACCTCAGAATGCCTCAGAATATAGGGGATTGGCTCCTACTTGCAAAGGACTTTAAGGAATTATGGAATTTTCCCCATTGTGTAGGCGCCATAGACGGAAAGCACATTGTAGTTCGAGCTCCAAGAAATACAGGATCATTACATTTTAATTATAAAGGAACATTTTCAATTGTGTTGATGGCGCTGGTTGATGCAAATTTGCAATTCACCATGATTGACATAGGATCATATGGGCGAAATAGTGACGGTGGTGTTTTTGCACATTCAAAGTTTGGGACAGCCCTGAGTTGCAATCAGCTACATTTGCCGCTTGCTTGTGTTATGCCTGGAGCTGAGGAACTTGGTCCGATGCCGTATGTCATTTTAGGTGACGAGGCGTTTCCATTACAGGAACACATCATGCGCCCCTATCCTGGTAGAGGACATAATTTTGCTGAACAAATATTCAACTATAGATTATCAAGAGCCCGTAGAATCGTGGAAAGTGCTTTTGGCATATTAGCGGCTCGATGGCGGGTATTCTACACAAAGATTTGTGTCAGCGTTTCGACCACAAAGGCTATTGTTAAAGCAGCAATAGTTCTCCACAACTTATTGCAAAGGGAGACAACAGTAGCACAGACAGCGACACTCTTAGAGGATAACCAAGCCAACACAACAGACGGCTTCTGTCCTTTAGTCGGTGTGGGGAATAGAGGATCGGAACACGCCATTGCGATCAGGGAGAAGTTTAAGAAATATTTCACTAGGTTTGACACGCTACTTTGGCAAGATGTACATGTAAGATGGGACTGCTTTGGTGGTTCACAGTAATATTTGTTGATAACCTTACCTTGACTCTTGGCCTTGATTATCCATATTGGAAGGACAGACCCCCTCCTCCACTTGTTCGAGGAAATCCATGTTACTGTCCGTACTATAAATATAAAACATACATGACATGTTGATTTTGATTTATTAACAAATTAATGATTTTAATAACATTATGTTTGAAACATTCGAATAAATGTAGTATGATTTGTATGCATATCAATGTTAAAGGTATCAACAAAAAAAACGCTTTTGATACTGGCACTATTTTGTTTTGTAAAATGAAATGTCATAATCTCATTTTTTTCTGTTCACATTAAACTTTTGCTTGATACAATTAAAAAATAGCTTATAATACCTAGCCTCTTTTATGAAGGGGTCAAGAAATGACAGGACTTCCATATATGGCCAGCGTACCGCTGTTTGTGCTGCCGATCCTGATATTTTCTTGGAGGAAATTTCTCTTTTTTTTACATACGTGTCTCGAATGGTTCACCAACGTACTTTGACATCATCGGCTGTAAAATATGAATAAATTGATAAATGAAGAGATACAAGAACATGATGTAGGTCGTTCTTTATGTTTAGTGATGTCACTCTGAATAATAACTTTTATTGATTTCTTTTATGTTATGCAACAGATAACTATGCAAATCTTTAATTGTAACATAGCAAACTAAGAAAATGTCTTGTATAATATGAACAATAATTGTACCATCAAGAAACAAACATTAAATACCAGTTAAGTCTTGGATTTTTATCTCTTTTGCTACCGAAGACCATATGTTTTTTTATCACCAGTGTGTCTTTATAGTCTGATAGAGATGCATCATAGAGTTCGGGGTTCTCTCGCACTATTTCGATGAGCTTTTCTGTATTATTTTTCGAAATTAACAAGTCATTTATCTTCGTTCGTGGCATCTTGCCCTGTCGGGATCTCTCCGGTGACTGTCCGCGTCCGTAAAAATTCGCTCATTCTGCGAAACGTCGCGGATGCCGTCGCGGAAGCGGATGGTAAACGGACAAAATGAATAGATTCAACGTATTTTTTGATTAGCGAATCGGTAGCGGGGGCGAATGACGGACGCGGACCAGTGATCACGTATAAATGGAATAGCGGACTTACAATGAAGAATTTAGCTAAACGTACGGAGTTTGAAACTGACATACACAAATTTTACAAATATTCTATATTAAATTGAGTGCTTTCGTGTAATTAATAAATATTAAGTATTAACTTTGTTATGGTTAAAATATAAAGTTATATAGGCTAAGGAAATTTCTTTTATCAAGACCGTGTGATGGGTCCTATTTCAAAGGTCACTTTGGTTTATCTGACACCCGTTCAGAAAAAAACACCGTTATACCTTTTATACAAGTCAACGAACAAGAAAGCATCAAAAATCACACCACACACACAATTTCATGCCAGAGAAAACGATTTCGTTTCCTCTTTACTCGGATCAATGCACTGAAAGCACCGGCTTCATGCCACATTATAGGACAATTAGGCGTCAACTTTATCAGTAAGTAATTTGTATGTATGTCTAGTGCATATAATTAAAATTTTACAAGAAAAATCGATGTCCTTTGCTAAATAGATCTGAAATTTTATTTTTATCATTTTACACACATACTTGCATATTTATCCGGATTGGATGATAAGAAGATAACTATCTATCATTAATATTACTATTATCATTATTGATTGTATGCTTGAGCAGATACCTTGATAAATTTCTTTATTATTGGAAGGCCTCCCTACTAGTGATGGGTCAATTGATCTGTGCTTTAATGTTATCAATATATTGAAGCTTCCCGGTGGAAAAGAAATTGAGGGCGGTGTAAGGGTAAAAAAGAAAAACTGGAATAAAGATCAACAAGGCGACGGCAACGTTCACAGGACGCAGCCCTCGACACACTCAAGCTGCCATAGCAGAGTTATTGCCATTACAAGTGAATAAACTTAAAACTGATTATATAGTAACTGTTGTTGTTTTTTAAACCCTAACTTTATTTCAAATTAAACGAAACAAACAAAATTATAATACTTGCAAGACAAAAGTGAAGGGCAGGTAAGTAAAAGTAACTTTAAGAATTCAGTAAGATATTAACCTCACCTTATACAACAATTATTGTTTAAACTATGTTTTAAAATACTTTTAACTCCTAGACGGTAAATAAACTTGGAAAAGGGGCGATGCATATCTTAACCAGTGTTTTTACTCCTAATAGCCTGTTTTATCATGACATACTGATTGTTAATAGTTTTGTAAATATTTTGATTTGATAAAAAACTTCAAAATTCAAGTTCATTTCCCGACTATCTTGTTAAGACACGACTGACTGGTTTCAAAAAAATGCAATGGATAAATATTGATCGGGTGCATTTGATTGCATAAATAAGTTAGGAAGATAACCCTACTTTTCCTGTCTTATAGCACTGAAATCTTTACTTTTCTCGTCTTTTTAACCCTACTTTTATCTCTTCTTTCTTTCTGTTTTTCTTTTTCTTTAATTTGTTTTGTCTTTTTATTTTCCACTTGAAAGCCTGAAATAAAAGTTTCCATTGATAACTTAGCTGTGGCCCTGTGTTGCTTGGTCATGTGGGTGTTGCGTTCATTGAATGCTACCATTCCTTGTTGATCTTGTTTTTCGTATGTATGCTCTGGAGATTAGGTGGGTGGTACTCGTAATACTAAGATTTATGAGATAGTGTATCAAAAGCCTTTGTAAATTGTTTCGAAAATACTGGATATCGTTTTGAATACAGCTACTCTAGTATTTAAAACACATGAACGAAAAATATCACAGTTACAGGCATTACAATTAATTCCAAAGTATTTCGGTTATAGTGATTATACTGTTATCAAACGTTTAAGGTCCCTAAGAACTTTTTCTTTGGAAATAAATACTAAGTGTTAGCACTAAAAAATAAGAGAGGTACACAAGATTGCTTGCAAAATCTTTATCGACAGGATAACTATGTTCACAAAACATGATTTCTTTCACAGTCATGATCAAATGAACAGACTGTCATTTTCTTCCTGTTACCGAAAGATAACACACCTTCGTATTTATACCCAGGAAGATTTCAAGTAGTAGACAGAATGTTCTTAATATTTGAAAAGAAGTAAATTTATGAAAGAGAAATCGGGGATGCTACTCATTAAATTATTTGCCCATAAAAGAGGGTTTATTTTACTCGTTTACATTATTTTCAAAAGCAAAAGTCTCATACTGATATTAAGACGTAAAACCTGACATATAGAATCCATTTACCTGTGAAACTGGAGTGACGATGTGTTACCTAAAGTTGCAAATGTATCTTTTTTTCAGTGCATTCAGTACTTTGATCTAATCAACTGTATCATTTTCACCGAAAAATCCTTAAATTCTAAACAAGTTTCTAATAGAATCATAAACATTTATTGTATCATAGTTTTGGGACCTTTCTGTTGAAAACGAGTCAGATTTAAATCGTATTCACATACATGCACATTGCGTTAACTAAAGTGCAGGTATTAGTTACCCGCACTCCAGAGCATGCCCATTGATTGACTCATCTTTTCTGGGGTTTACTTTTTGTGACGACAGGAATAACGATAGAAATGGCACATTCAGAAGCTGGCTCATTGGTTATCTTTTTCTGGGATTTCATATTGTTACAACAGGGAACGTGTATTTAATTTTGCTTATGATACAAAAGGAAAAGAACATCAAGACACTCGGCAATCTGATATATACTCGGGGCCTACGTCCCCTCGTACAAATCAGATAGGCTCGTGTTTCGATGCTCTTTCTATTACATAACATACATAATGACAGAAGTAAACTTGAATTTGATGTAATGTTCAGAAATGAGTGTGTGTGGAACGTGTATGTACGATCCTATCAAGATAGCCTACGAAACGTCACTCATTACATACTCAGATGCCCGTTTGTGCCAGAAACAATTTTGCAAAGGGGGCACCTGAGTTCTTTCTCCACCAGTAAAGCTGAAGAGTCGCCATAATGTCCTTCAAGGTTTTTATGCGATGTAACCCCCACCCCACCCCAAAAACAGAAAATCAAATGAAAAATGCTTTTAAATTCATCATTTCTTACAGGATGGAATGTTATTAACTGTATTTGATTGAAATACGTAATAGATAGCGTTAAATACATGCCATTGTATTATGCCCATTATAGAATAAATATCACCGATGCACTATGTTCGGCTTCAGCCAATTCTTCAAAATATTGAAATATAAACTTTTCAGTATGCATCAAACAAACTTCTCAGTTAACAGATATTTTTACTTTTGGTTGAATATAGGTATAAATAACTTACAGTATTAAAAATGTCAAAGACAATAATTGTAAATAATATCTTTCCGTTTTGTCTAGAAAATGTCCGCTTCGCTGGCGTTTAATTTTTCAAGACATCATAATTGCTACTTTGAATAGGTTTTATACATTTTTTCTTCGTTATACTCAAGTTATAACAACATGATAGGTTAGAGTGTTGAGAAACAGCAATATACATTTTGCCCCGTTTACTCTGTTGTCTCAAAAAATCTCCCTTGCGTATTTTAGTCATACCCGATGAATTGTGGGTAACTTCTGTACATGTCTGGAAAAACCAACTTTCATTTTTGCATCAAAAGCTAATGTGAAAAATGCATTTTCTAGCGTAACTGTTACTAAAGGGTTGGTTAAAATGTAAGTTATTGTTAATTTAGTTAAAATATTGTGAATTGTGTGGAAATTTGTTTACATTTTTTTTTGACACCAAATTACCTGTCAAACCTCAGTGGAGCTCCTTTAAGAACTATTGTCGGACTATGGTTTCACAGTAGCAGTTTTCTAATCGAAACCTGTTACTTGCTAGCTCTTTTTCGAAAATTCTTTAGAGAGGTAAAACGTCAAGGGCTCTTGATACCGATATCTCCCAATCTGAGTGGTATCAATACTCTACAGGACTTCTTTATGATGAAAACGCTGTTGCAACTGATCAACCG